ACATGTTTCTCTCCATCTCGTCAGCACAACCGGGCACTGAAAAGTTGTATTTAATTACCCCTTTATTTTTATAATAATAAATAAAGCATAATCAATTATCTCATGCTTAAAGCTATTGATTTTAAATTTTTTTTCTAAAGAAGTACAAAGTTTTGGTTATTAAAGTTCTATCAACATTTTAATCCTCAAGAAGGTTGGAAATAAGTAAAAATAGCTAATTATGCTCTTCATTATGAACTCAAAAAAAGTTAAAAATTTAAAAGTTATATATTCTAAAATTAAAGCATAAATGATTTTTTATGTTTAAAATGAATTTCTTCAATAAACTAATGAAAACTATAAACTAAAAGCGTTTTCTCAACTTCACCCTTTCTTTGGAAAAGCCAAGTTTCTCTGAACTATAATTAAAGTTTGCAGAAAAGAAATAAAAATAAAGCTTGAGAAACTTAAAGAAAAATCTCAAGTATTTTTGTAAAAAGAAGTCTTGAACACATCCCAGGTTTTTCAGGATTAAACCAGTTGAATAAGAAGGGGAGGTTGGAGAGAGATATAAGGTTTTATAAATTAATTATATCTGCATACTTGAATCTTAGGTGCCAATAAAAATATTTACCCAGCTTCCAATTGAGAACAGATTGTAAATTGTTCTTGGAGCTTATCAAAGCCTAAAACTTTAAATATTAAAGAACGAAAAAATAACAATGTTCAACTCTACATAGTACATACAGTATTATCGTTATTAAATATTTTACAAAATTATTCACAGCAATATGTTACCTTATTATCTGATTTAAATCATTTTATTTCATAAAAAATCAGTTTTTTAATACTAATAAACTTGTATTTTTCTTTTGTATTTAAAAAAAAATAGACGACCGATTGAGGTGATTTTTATTCTGCAAAGAAAGAATGAATTGTGACCATTGTCTATGTAGTCATAAAGCTTTCTTTTTGCTCCGTATATTTCCTAATTTCTGGAACGGAATAGAACAGTTGTCACAAACTTTAACTTCTAACTTGATAGTGTTAAGCTTTAATATTTCAAACTTTAATCAAATGATCTAACATCACAACTCATTTTCTAAAATATCAAAGGTTTGAGACTAAAGTAATCGGCTTAAATTTAAGCCGCGGCTCAAATGATTGGTTTCACATGAAATTGTATTTGATGTTTCAAGATTTAAGCCGGCGCTCAATTGAAACCGGGTTTTTGGCGGATTCATTAAATTCGGACACAGTTCTTTTGCAAATTGCTAAAGATTGCAATAGTTTAAGATTCGTATAAGAATATAAATACGAAATACAAACTCCTGATTTTTAAAACTCCTAAAAGACAAACTCCTGATATACAATTTTCTGAAATTTAAACTCCTGAAATACAATTTCTTGAAATTCAAACTCTTGAAAGACAAAATCCTAAAAAATAATGTCTGCATGCTCGCTCCTTTCCTGTTCTAGCCATAGCAGTATCAAGAGCCGTTCATCTACCTTGTTGAGGCCGCAGCGTTTTTACCCAGTTCAATAAAATAGTTTCGGAGCTTGTAATATAGCGTTGTTAAAACTACCATATTTGTCCAATATAAAGCTGTATTCACAACATAACTTGGTCCTATTAAGAAAATAGTATTTATTAATGTAATACTATATAAAACGTGTTGTAACTTGTATTAGATTAATGTCAAAATATTGACGTTCTTCATTAGTATTCTGCTTTTATTTCCAAACCATTGGAGCCCACTGTGTTCATATTATTCATACAACATTTATTAATCTAGTAATATATTGCTAAGTAGATAAGAAAGCTTAAGTCAGTTTGCTTTTTATATAATTAATGTTCAGAAGTATATATTTATATATATATATATATATATATATGTGTATATATACATATATACATATTTATGTATATACACAAAATACATACACTTATTTATAGCAAGATATAAACAAAAAGGTGAAAAAAACAAACAGACATCCACATTACTGAGAAAAAGTATGTGTCAACTGTTGAGACCCGGACTTAGTTCTAGTTTTGACCTTAGTGACATATATTTTTTAGCCCTAAATATCTTAAGCATGCAAATTAGTGTATCCAGCGGAAGCAAACTTTTCCGAAAAAACTGCGCATAAATGTTCAAATTTACTTGCGTATTCCGCAGACTTTTTCATCAAACTTATTCCGTGAAAATTCTGCGAAACAGATTAACGTGGAATCCCGCGCAAAATGAGAAAATGTAATGCATTTAAACTGCCTACCGCCGGTTTGATTCACCGATTTAAATTCTTGATTAATCTTTAACGTTCATATCAGTGACAAATCTCATATTATTTGGTCCTTGAACAAATTTTTGTTATTAGACAAATTCAATTTTGCTAGGAAGCGTTTACATATCGTAATAGATAAATATGAATTATACTAGGTGCATAATTCATAACCTAAGCAAATGCAAATTTTCGAAAAGAAAAATTATAATGATAGTTTTTTCTCTTGAGTTTTGACACATTTCTCAAATATTGCAGCAAAATGTCAAAAATTTCAATATTTACATAATTAGATTTTAAATAAAAACTGAGTTAAATTTGCAAAAACAAAACTTTTATGTAGTTCATGTTTCTTTCCATTTTCTTGCAAGTTTTTCTGTCTTGTAATTCTAATAATGTCTCCCATTTGTCTTTTTTTTTGCATAATGTACAAGAGATAAGAAAATTCCGAGAACTCACTAAATTTTTAAAACAGGTGAGTTTTCAAAAGAATGTGGTTAATACTGAAAAAAATGAGTGAGTCACCCCAATCTGAACATAAAAAAAACATAAAAGAAAGGCGAAATGAACTAATTGCATGCCTCAATTTCTAATTTTTCAATTACCCGTATATTGGCAAAATGGATTATGGTACCCTTGATCAAAAAAAATGTATAGTTTGAAGTAATTAATTTTGTCTGTTACAAACTAAAAATATGCAGGCAAGCCGGTATACGCACATGATTCAATCTAGGTAACTGTAACTGTATCCATATTTTGTTTCCATAGTTGGGTTGGGACATCACTTAGAAAGTATTGCTCATGAAGCGGTTTAACGTTTTTGACCCTCGCAACAAAGCCATAACCCCCCTCCCCTTTTGGCTTACACTGCCAGAATCAACTTTTTTTGATTATTTGGGAAGCCATCGACAAAGAGAATCAAAACCCAGATTTATTACTTTTTTTGAAGCTATCCTTCTCAACCAATAAATCTATATTAAATTAACGAAAAGGCCGGCACATTTTTAAAAGAAAACGTAAACCTTAGACTGCAAAGTAAATAATTAGAAAATATACAAATAAAATATGAACATAATCAGTAAGCTTCTTGTCATATCTAAATATTTTAAAAACCTCATTTAAATCCAATGACGTACACTTCTAAGTTAAATGAGACTAGATATATTTTGTCTGATTCATGGGAGGGAAAATCTTGGAATAAATCTAATGCTTCTTTTACATTATGGAAAATTGGGCGGATATTTAAGTATATATTCCCCTCGTATTCCCCAACCTTTCCTCTACACTATCCCTAGAACTCAATATCAAACCTACTCCTAGCCAACCAAAAGAACACCCATAATATATTCCCCCTCCCCTCAACCACCCCTTCTATACCCCTCCAGCACTCCTCCCTCACCCCTCCCCGGCCTCCCCACCTCCACCCAAGTAATAAAAATATTTCCTCCTAGCGTATTTCCAAATTTTCTCTTTATATATTTCAAAGCTTTAATATTCCAATATTTGTAATCATAATTATAAATGTCCTTATGACCAATAACATTTTTGTTTTATCTTTTTGTTTACCTAAATTCATCAAAGTTTGAAATATCAAGTTTAAAAGATATAAAAATTAGAAAATAAGAGTTTAAACTGAGTAAGTGCACATGAATTCTAGGAGTTTTATGTGCATTCTGCATTCCATTGTTTCAAATCCTTCATTTCTGTGTGTAGAGGGGGGGAGATTTATAGATATATATTGCTACAACCGTAAATCAATATTACAGACAAAACAAATAAAGATCGAGGTCTAATGATGCCGGGATCTATTGATGAAGAATACATAAACATTATAGAAAGTACATTTTTAGAAACAAAAGAAAGAAAATCAGTTTTGGCATACATCCATACAATAATATAACAGTATTTGATGGTACACAACTAATTCAGATCTTTTAGATAGGTCAAAAAAACATTATTTTCATGTTTTACGTAGATTGTAGATAGATATAAAATTATACATATAGTTAAATATTATGTCAGATTTGAATCTATTTTTCTTCATTTTGGAAATATTGTAGATTAAATGGAAAGACAAGCTAGATGGTATTTGAGATGAAAGTATACTGTAAAAAAAACTTTAGAATTCATTTGATACCAATTAGATATTTTAACGGTGTACAGTTTTTAAAAAAGAGCATAAAGTCGTTTGTAATATTTCACCAGTTGTTTCAGTCAGCAGAATAAACGTTTTTTTTATTCTTAAATAGCATGGACAAAATATAAAGTTTTTCTCTACAAAACTGCTTTCAACATGAGTAAGATAAGTATGATGATGGTGAAATTGGAGATTTCAAATATGCAGCATCATGTTGAGCAGTTTTGTTTGCCAAATAATAAAAAAAATCAAATTAAAACAACAAATATTGAAAAAGGTGAGTTCACGAAAATGATAAGTTCAGAAATCAACTAAATTTCGAACGATGGTAATCTTATATGTCTATAATCAGAAAATGATCAAATCTTTCATCATTTGGACCGGCAAAACCCGAGTGTTGTATTAATAAGTTAGATCATGTAATGAGATTATGTAAATTTCATAACTTATTCTATAACATTTAAATATACAATGTGAATAAAAGGTCAGAATAACATTAAATAGCATGTTGACTGAAATACATTAATAGAAATTTCCGTTTAAGGCCAAATTGGTGCAAAGAACTGTACTTGTCTAAAAATAATAGCAAAAACACATTATGACATTTATTTCTATTCTTTAGAGTTTACATTACTTAATTTTGGTAAAGTTATTAAAAAATAATAAAACATTTTTATTCTTATAAATAAAAGAACGAGGAGTTGTGAGTTGAGTATATTTGACACATATACATATTTACAAGTCTAAATCAATTCTTCGGTAGAAAGTGAAAAATGATAAAATTTAAAATTATCAGTTAAAATTGGGAACTTTTGAATGAACTAAAAATCTTAACATAGAATCGGACAAGTTTAAGTTATTTTCAAGTCATTTGTAAATTAACTTATATTTAACGATCAAAGCCCTTGGAAGCGTTCGGAACTTTCAATAAAACATTGTTTAATGTTCATGTATAAACATCCTATACAACATTGTTCAATGTTAATGTATAAACGTCTCTATGAAGAATGTTCATTTTCACTTTGACATTCATTTTTCAAAGATTTACATTTTATTTATTTAAAAATGATCAGAAAAACATTTTGGCATAAATATTTTTACATGATTCTTGCTTCCTCAATCAAAGTTCTGAGTCACCAACCTTAAATACAAAAATTAACAATAATCAAGTGTGTTGGAATTACGCATGCAAAATTAATAATCTATGAAATCTAAATTTCTAAAGATTAGAAAAAGGAACCGACTACTTGCCTCAAACACAAATTTCCTAATTTGGTATTCAAACCTGAAAAACTGGTTGATTAAATATCAAAGTTTGAATTATCAAAATTTTACATCTTTAAGTTGCAAAGGAATTGACTCTTTGCCACAAACTCTGATTTTCTAATCCCAATATCTTTGGAACCCAATGTCGTAAACCTTTGATATCTCAAACTTATATTTTTTGATCTAACAAAAGTCATAGTTTGAAATTTCAAAGGTTTACGACGTTGGAATCCAAAGATATAGGGATTAGAAAATCAGAGTTTGTTGCAAATAGTCAATTCCTTTGCTTTGATTAGAAAATTCGAGTTTGAGGCAAGTGATCATGTCCTTTATAAGTTTCGGTGTCTTTAACCTGATTATCACAGACGATTTACAAGCAATCAACTGAAATACAGACCCATGGCAGACTTGAACATGCAAAAAATTCGCTAAATTCACATTTTTCGAGAATTCTTCAATCAGAATTATAGAAAATGTTTCAATAGATATATAACTTGTGTCTTTGATGTTTTTTTTGTATTCAATAAACGTTAAAACCTCTGAAACGACCGTAGGGGGGGGGGACATTTACCATTTTAATGAGACAATCGACTAGCAATGGCAAATTTTTAAGTATAAAATTTAAAAATTTAAATTAGTCAAACTTCATAAACAGGATATTTCTTATTGAACTGTAGGAGATAAAATTGCTTGCAGATTTGTAATTAACATAAAAAACATTTAAAAAGAATTGTAAATTGTTGTTTACCATCCTATTCTGACTCAACTATGATGTGAATGTTTTAATGTGAAAAATTAATAGCATCAGAAAATGTCCTAAGCATTTTTTATTTTCCTGTTGCACCCTTACCGATTCAATGAACACACATATTTTGCGAATTCCTGTGCAAAACATTCCTTGTAAAATTTAAAATGAATGATTTTTTATCAGTATTTTGCCGAAATAAAAGGCCAGCTATTGTTATGATTTATAAATTAGTGAAAAATATCTACAAACAACTCTACTTGTTTTTCTAAACTATAAAAAGAATTGAAAGATGTAGAAAGTAGGTGAAATAGAGAGCATCAGTGAATGCAAACAAGACTTTTAGATTTTAAAATAAATTCATTAATCATGACTTTGGCTTTCCCAGAACTGTAAAATATATGATAAAGACTTACTTTAAAATAAGTATTCGATAAAAAAGATACTGGGGTGAGGGGGTTGGGGAAAATTGAGAAAAGCCAATCTTTTGTATTAATCCAATTTTCCTTTTTAACATAGTTTATCAGATTTGGATTCTTCAGTTGAACATTAAAAAAATGCGAAAAAATATCTAACGGTAATATCTCAGGGAAAAAATTCGAACAATTCCGATATTTCGACTCTCTTCCGCGATTATTCTACTAACTGCCTGGTTGAATATAAAAAAGCACAACAATGCCCGCTTCTAATAAATGATAATTAAATAAACTAATAGTTTAATCTGTCCATGCATCCCTGGACTAAACAGTACTCTCTTGGTCCAGTGGATTGGTCCAAACTACAGTTCTCCTTAAGGGTTCCTAGATTTTAGTTAATAAACTAGAAAATAGAACCTATAGTTTAGAGGAATAAAGAAAAATAAAACAAATTCTAATGAAATATATTTTATGAAAAAAAAAGATTATATTTGAAATGACTATCTAAAATACTAAATAAATATTGATTGAAATTTTGATCTTTCACCAATTTCATTTCTAACAATTTTATTTTTTTATTTTTGTAATCCCCAATATACATAGTACAGAGAAACGTTTTCCTTGTTTTGTTTTCAAACAAACCTCAGTGAAAATATTAAACTCTAAAAGTAAAAACGTGAATGCCAAATGTTGTATTGAACTAAAGTACAACAACAAAAAGTAAAGTTGGAATACAATTTTCTGAATTTTAAAGATTAAAATAGTGTTGTAAAGTCAATTTTAATAGTAATTTCGTCTACATTGAATAAAGGTTTTTGCTTTTTCTTGTTGACATGAAAAAGATTTTCAAATTAACAACTATTTAAAGTTTCTTTCATAAAGTATGTCTTAATAAAAAGAAAGGAGTTAGCTATACATTGTAACAAAAAAATGGGTTAATATTTATCAAAGAAAAGTGACTAATCACTTGCTTTCAACTTTTATCATGTCTTCGCAAACTGTTGGTGTATAGATCTGATGCAATTTGATTTAGCCGAATTCAAGGTCTTTTATTTCAAAAGTCAGAAATATTAGAGTGAAAAATGATAATTAATTAAAGTTATCGTTTTTTTTTGGTCAAATATGTATTTAAATCCTAACTTTTAGAGCAATTTTTAATATTCGAATAATAAAAACTATAAAAAACTATTAAATACAGTGCTAAAAATATAAATAAAGCTAAAATACTATAAGAAAAAAGAAAATGATTAAAAATAATAATAATTGAAAAAGCATAATTTTAAGTTCTGACTGACATCTTTAAGAATAATACTGATATAATTTAAACTATTTAGTGATACAAAATGTAAATTTTTATTGAGACCAAAATATGAAATCCTACCAAAGGAGCACGGAGGTCTTCTGGAAGAGGAGACGGACAGCCTTGCAGAGTAGACGGAGAATTACAGTTTACACTAAATAGTCATATTGTTATATTATGCAATATAGATTAACCAAATGTATTAGTTGACGAAATGTAAGATTGCCCAAAATGTAACTTGGCCAACTGTAAATTGACCAAATGTATCCAGTCATGAAACACACACAGTCAAAAGATATACAACCTTGAAAGATACCATATATATTTCTTTAATTCTAGGATTTCTAAAATGGGGTTTGAAAAGAGCTTCTCATACTTTTCCTCATAAAAAGTATATCCTTATAAAAAAAAAGGTTTTATCTATTATTAATAAACATTTCTATTATATATTTTAAAACATATTTTTTTACAATACCTTGCATAAGTGACGCCTGAGTCATCCAATCTGTGCATCTGTGTGTATCCTTTCCCACGTGGTAAAGTTAGTTCAGCGTAGGTTACCTCTTGACTCTATAAAAAAAGCAATGAACTTAAAAAAAGTAAATGTAAAGCAAAAACGTGGTTTCTGTAAATTCATACTAAATTGAAATAAAAAATAGATACAAATTTAAGTGTTCATTTAATAAGAAAAGGGAAACCGGGTTAGGCATTTCTCTTAAAGGGAGTGACCGGCTCTAGACATGGTGGATGTGGTGAGAGTGCAGTACTTTAGAGAAATGTGTCAGGATTTATTTGAAACCTAAGAGACTTTTTCCAGTGTATAATTAATCAGCAAGAGCGCAAATGCAATCTTAGAAACACTCCCGAATTGTCCATTCTGGAGGGTTGGTTTTAAAAATTGGTTTGTTAAAAACAATTAACGCAAGCAATGCCGAACTTACACCTTTTATACGTTTGAGTAAAGAGAGATCGTTGTTTAAATCTCTTGAAAACCACTTGAATTCCAGTAAAACGAGGGGTAAGCTCAGTAGAGTGTGAAATTAACACAGCTGATGTGCAGTACTTTTGTCTAATGACATTACTCAATATTTTACAATAAAATTTGTTAAAGAAAAGCGTTTTCGATTATTACTGAAAATAAGTCCGATCACCTTGATAAGTCAAAGGGTTTAAGTTTACCGTTGTAAATCGTGCATTGACAATTTTGCATGAAAATTTACTTGAAATTACACTTACAGTCCCTTAAATATAGCTGTTGTTTACGTTATCGATTTGAGCATTTAGTAAACAAACAAATAACGGAACAAGTCTTTCCTTTGTTTACGGAATTTTTGTTAATGTTTAAAATGTCTGTTCGTTATGGACTGGGGGGTGCGCAGAATGCCCCCCCGATCTTTATCTAGATTAAGTCTTCATAGGGTTAAAAGAGTTATTTTACAAAAATTTTATTAATTTTTGCGTAAGGCAAAAATTTTCAAAAGTTTAAACTTTTAATTTCCCTAAATTTTCAATTACTTTCATTTATCAAATAGAACTTTGTATCACATATCATGCCGAAAAAGTTTTATTTTTGCAGGCAAACTAAACTAGCTGATTTTTCTCTCTGAATATGATAAACCCAGTAAAAAAGTATTTTTCATGAAGAACTAATTATTATTATCGTGTCAACTTGTCAAAGTAACTCAAATTCTCTCAAATAAGTTAAGTTCCATCAAATGAAAAGTAAAATTGTCAACACATCATTTAGAGTTTTCAGTTTAAGGACCAAAGGGAACTTGAGTAAACGCAAAGGAACTTATGATTGCTCGTCATAATCTCTGCATTTCAAGTTTATGTAGCTAAACAACATGATGTTGTAATCCTTAGGTGTTTTCAACTATGATTTCTGCCAGATCTACTAGTAAAACTATATAACTTAAGTTTTCTAAACAGGATGAAAGGAACCTTCATTCATTCAGGAAAATTCTTAATTTAAAGTATCCAAATGTGTTTTCTGTAAACTTTTTCCCACATCATTTCTGGGTTTCAGAACGACTCATTTGATATTTCTCTTTGTTTATTACTTTTTCGACTTTTCTTATTAAAAAGAAATCTTTGTGAAGCCTATTTAAAATATCTTTTAAAGAAAAACTGCAAGTCTTCCTTTTATATTCTGAAAATTGAGAATCTCTAAAATATATTCTGGTAGGAAATGCTAATCCAAGGAAAAGAAAATGTCTACCTTCCTTCCGCTGGTATTTGAGAAATATTTCAAGTTATGACAGAACTCGATTTATGTAGTTTCAAATATAAAATTCAAGTTGACATGAATAAATTTTACAAATCTAAGACACTTAATAGCGGCTGTGGTAATATTATATAAGTATAGGAGAATATCGCTTTTAAATTTATTTATATAAGACTTTATTTGAACATTGTTCTAGTATTGAACATAGGCTAATTTGACTAATCCTATTAAGATTAATCAAATCATATAATTCAAACTGGTTTGCGTATAGTTTAGTTTTGGAACACTACTTAGCCTAAAATAAACGAAGAATTTATAAACTTAATATTTGGGGCAAATCAATGTAAATAAGTTCATTGCCCACAATTAAACATACACCCAAACATAATTAATACTCTGATCGTACAGGACATTATAAGCAAAGTTGTCCAAATCACAGGCAGCCGTAGTACAGTTCAATTTCCGAGCTGGGTCAACCTTTCCGGTCCCAGTTGTACTGTACCTAGCTCTATGGACAAACTAGCCGGTGCAACAGGGTTGACGCGGTCAGACTTTATGCTTCATATAGGTTGAATTTACTTTTACCAAAGGGACAGATTTGTGTGAAATGTGACTAAACGAATTTGTTTTTCTGACATTTAGCTTTTTGTCAAATAAAAACGGGAGACATTTTATTAGTTGGAAAAATCATACCAGTATTTGCACGCTTTAAATGAGCGTTTTAGAAATCAAATCCTACATTTTTCAGCAGTTATACTTGAAACAGCTAAATATTAAGAAGACACAAATGTAAGTAATTAACTACTTCTGCTGAAGGCTTATATCAGGCTTAAAGCTAATTTCACAAAGCTCCCAAATCAAAGGTTTACATGGTACAGTTGCGAGCTCTAGTGGAAGAGAACTTTGTTAATTATTTATTTAATACTAAAGCTCTAACCACGTGCTTTGTTGTTCTGAAATGTAGACTTACATGTGCGGCACAGTCCTGAAAATATATCCATGCAGATTCCAGGCTACTCTTCAAACTTTCCTCGAATCGGGATGTTTTTGATGTTTTTTCGACGTGAAAAAAATTTTAGACATTTTTTAGGATACGAAGAAAAAGTAGGTTGGAAGTTGACAGAATCGTGTTATCCAGGGCTACCAAGAAAATGGAGGTGTGCAAGGTCAAACAAAGGACTGGAAACAACAAAAACTAAGCCCGGTCTTAAAAATTGATGATTGAAAAGCAAAACTTTATAAAACACTATATATAGCTTACCAATCTAGAAAGGTTGTGCCTGATTCCTCGCCCGCGGTCGTTCTCAACATCTGTTCTATTTCTCCCTGTAAATATTACCAAATATTTGTTCTATTTCTCCCTGTAAATATTACCAAATATTTGTTCTATTTCTCCCTGCAAACATTACCAAATATTGTTCTATTTCTCCCTGTACACATTACCAAATATTTGTTCTATTTCTCCCTGTAAACATTACCAAATATTGTTCTATTTCTCCCTGTAAATATTACCAAATATTGTTCTATTTCTCCCTGTAAACATTACCAAATATTGTTCTATCCCTGTAAATATTACCAAATATCTGTTCTATTTCTCCCTGCAAACATTACCAAATATTGTTCTATCCCTGTAAATATTACCAAATATTTGTTCTATTTCTCCCTGTAAATATTACCAAATATTTGTTCTATTTCTCTCTGTAAACATTAGGAAATATTTGTTCTATTTCTCCCTGTAAATAATACCAAATATTTGTTCTATTTCTCCCTGCAAATATTACCAAATATTTGTTCTATTTCTCCCTGTAAACATTACCAAATATTTGTTCTATTTCTCCCTGTAAACATTAGGAAATATTTGTTCTATTACTTCCTGTAAACATTACTAAATATTTGTTCTATTTCTCCCTGTAAACATTAGGAAATATTGTTCTATCCCTGTAAATATTACCAAGTATTTGTTCTATTTCTCTCTGTAAATAATACCAAATATGTGTTCTATTTCTCCCTGTAAATATTACCAAATATTTGTTCTACTTCTCCCTGTAAATATTACCAAATATTGTTCTATTTCTTCCTGTAAACATTACCAAATATTTGTTCTATTTCTTCCTGCAAATATTACCAAATATGTGTCCTATTTCTTCCTGTATACATTACCAAATATTTGTTCTATTTCTTCCTGTAAACATTACCAAATATTTGTTCTATTTCTTATTTCTCCGGAAATTCCTGAGAAATTCTCAGGACTTCTTCACTTAATTATCAAGTTCCGTTTTTCTCCAGTAGGTGTCTCTGAGGTTCTCTTCTATTATGCACTGCTCAAACTAAATCTGTTTTTCTTTGCATCCTTTTTGATAAAAAATGATAATTTACTTTAGAACCATCTTTTTAAAAAATATTTTGTAAATTTATTTTCTAATTTTTTTATTACTTCTTGACAATTAAGTTGTCTGAATAAACAAAATACATGACAACTTCAGTAAGATCAAAAACGACTATAACATTACTCTCAAGAAAACTCTTTAATATAACTCTGGTTTACCTATAGTGGCGTATTTAGTCTCATGAAAACTCTGGAAAGCTGCCTCTTCCTCGGCATATTCTAAATGAAAATATTTAGCATTTAAAAAATGTCTTGCCTTGGCACTACAAAATATATTTTTTTTATCACAAATATTTTTAAATGTTTTCAATAAAAGTTAAAAATTATAACTCATTGACAAACTTTTTATGCTATATTCGCAAGATTTATATTAAGTGCTGGAAACAACAATGCATTATTTCTGAAATAATATTTTCTTGAAACTGTCTTAAGAATAGTTGTAATGTATTATGTATGACGTCATAAATAAATAATTTGATTTAATTTAATTTAATTTATTTTTAGTGGTTATCAGCAGAACTAAAATTAGATCAAAATGTCATCTAAAATATTCACATATATTTGTTTCGTGTGTTTTTGATTGATAAAGAAAACGAAATTTTTGTTTTGATATTTTAAATTTCATTTAATAAAATCTTCCAAAGGAATTGACTCTTTGCCACAAACTTTTGAAAAAAATAGTCCAATTTGTTTTAAAGTATTGATTAGATTATATTCAAAGTTAAGTTTTAAAAGTTTGCTTAATTTTAATCAGAAAGTTTTCACTTGAAAAGAAAAATTGCTAAAATTTTGCTTCGTGAATAAAAATTAACTATTTCTATACAAAACAGCTTCTATATATTTTGCCAAGTTATAAATTGCTATTATTAGTTCAGCCTAAAGGGACTGAAGACGTAATTTCAGGTGATCTTATATTTAAAGAGGGGTGAATATAATGGATTCACAACGGTAAAGTAGAAGTTCAATAATGGGGAAGATATCGTCGCTGCTTGAATACTATTTTATTTTAACATTTCCTCCATTGTTTCTGCATCAGAAAATTTTCTAAGTTACAAACTAACAATGGAAATCTTATTTATCTTGATGACACAAATGATTTATGGGTAACATTTTATATGGTATATATATGCTACTCTGTGTAAGAAGAGTAACTTGAAACAATGTCATACAGTCCTTTTACGCGGAACAAAACATGTCAATAATTAATGAGAAATTAACCAAAATAAAAGATAAATTACGGAAAGCAGAAATATATGTGTATGAAAGACTTGAACAAATCTAAATTATATAATTAAAGGAAATCAGCTCAAATATAGTTCTGAAACACATGTTAATAAACGTGGGTGTCTTTAACGACTGTGAGATCGTTTATGCTAACTATTTGTATCAAAATATCATCAACGAACTGTCTATATTTTTATTATCAAAGACGATCTCAATTTTTTGTCTCACTTCATATGTTTTTGAAACACCCTGTAGGTCTTTTCGCGGTTTTAAACAAGTTCTTGTTCACCCATAGGTTTCCAATTCGAAAAAAAAGATTATAAATTTTATAGATTTATTTTGTCCTCAAAAGAATTTTTCGAAAGGGAAAAAGTGAATGGTAACATATAGAAAACATTAAATACTTATTTTTTTCTTTCTTTTAAAATAACTTAAATAACATGTAATAGACTTTAATATCATATTAACCTTATATGATTGAATTACTTTTATCAGCTTAAATAGTTGAGTTGTTCTTCTCAACTTAAATAGTTGCATGACTTTTATCAGCTGAACAGTTGCATTTCTTCTTATCAGCTTGAATAGTGGCATAATCTAATCAGCTTTAATAAGCAGCATTATTTTTCTCCACAGTATTAGTTGAATTACTTATGTCAGCTGGCTGGATTAGAATTTAATTACTTTTATCAGCTGGGTAAGTTGCATTACTTTTATTAGCTGGATTAGAATTTAATTACTTTTATCAGCTTGGTAAGTTGCTTTACTTTTATCAGCTGGAATAATTAAATTACTTTTTTTCAGCTGGAAAAGTTGCATTACTTTTATCACTGGATTCGTTAAGATACTTTTAACAGCTGGATAAGTTGCATTACTTTTATCACTGGATTAGTTGAGATACTTTTATCCGCTGGATAAATTGCATTACTTTTGTCCGCAGTATTAGTTAAATTACTTTATCAGCTCGATACGTTGCATAACTTATATAAGCTCGATAAGTTGCATTGCTTTTATCGGCTGGATAAGTTGGATTATTTTTATCGGCTGGATAAGTTGGATTATTTTTATCGGCTGGATAAGTTGCATTATTTTTATCGGCTGGATAAGTTGCATTATTTTTATTGGCTGGATAAGTTGGATTATTTTTATCGGCTGGATAAGTTGGATTATTTTTATCGGCTGGATAAGTTGGATTATTTTTATCGGCTGGATAAGTTGCATTATTTTTATTGACTGGATAAGTTGGATTATTTTTATCGGCTGGATAAGTTGGATTATTTTTATTGGCTGGATAAGTTGGATTATTTTTATCGGCTGGATAAGTTGGATTATTTTTATTGGCTGGATAAGTTGGATTATTTTTATCGGCTGGATAAGTTGGATTATTGCTGGAATAGTTGCACAAAAGTAGTTGGAATAATTTTAATCATTATATCAGCTCAAAAAATGTTCATTACTTTAATCAGCTGAAATCGTTACAATACTTTAATCAGCTAGATTAGTTGTATTAAATATCTTTTTTATCAGCTTTAATCAGCTGGATTAGTTGTATTAAATATCTCTTTTATCAGCTTTAATCAGCTGGATTAGTTGTATTAAATATCTCTTTTATCAGCTTTAATCAGCTAGATTAGTTGTATTAAATATCTCTTTTATCAGCTTGAAAAGATGCATTGCTCTTCTCTGTTGGAATATTTGATCAATTTGCATAGTTGCGAACTTTGTTACAAATGCCAAGATTATATTTACCTTTATCTGCTGGAATAACATCTGGATTGTTGAGAACTGGTTTATTGAGCTGTATATGGGTTTCAGGATAACCGGGATGTGATGCATTCTGATATCCATGAGTATATTTCAGACGCATCACAACTATTATACAGATTGCTACCAGCCCTATGCCGCTTGCAATAGCAATTAGGATTCCTAGAACTGGGGTCATCGTCATGTTTCCTGGCTGCCTGCTTGGATCAGCAACTGGAATTGTTGAATATTATTATCTGAATATTTTTAAAAAGATTGATAGCTAATTTGAATATAAGCTATGCTCGAATTTTTTAGAAATAGAAATGAGTCCATTTTCAAGGCTAGATTTATCGAAAGTAGTCGACATAATGAAACATCGCCTAATTATTACCACAAAATAATGTTTATATAGGAAACGACTTCTTTTCACAATTTCTGATTTTTTTATTTCCATATCTTTGTAAGACGATGTAGTAAACCTTTAATATTTCAAACTATGAATTCTGTTAGATCAAATTGTTTCAGCTTTAAATATATAGATTTTATACCATTCGGTTCCAAAGATATAGGAATTTTAAAATTTGGGTTTGTGGTAAGAACTAAGTTTCTTTAAGAAAGTTTTTTCAAAGATTTGAAGTTTCCGTTTTTTAAACTTAAGACTACCTAACCTACCTTTTTGATAAATACACAGGAAATAAATATGAATTATGTAATCTTTATTTTTCTATGCCATTTCGAAAAACGTTAAGGTAAAAACTGGAAATCATATGTGTTTGGTAGATTGTTGCATAAATATTTACCTATATGCCTGGGTTCATCACGAAGTGTAAATGCATGAAGAGTCATTGGTTCACTCCTGCCTTTATTATTCTTGGAGTAAACTGTTACAATATACCCTTCTCCAGGACTGCAAGAATCATCAATCATTTTAAAATTAATTTGAAGAAAAATAATCTTTATTTGAATTTAATATTAATAGTTTTTTATTTTAAATGAGTGAAAACTACAAATTAGAAACATGAAAAGGTCAGAACAAACTTAAAGCTTGTTTTGATTTTTAATTTAATGAAAATGTGACACACAATATAGGAAAAAAGGAATAATTCTCATGAATATTGCTAAATTTAAATTTAAATTTTAAGAGGAAAAAAAGCAAAAAAAAGTTGAGTTTTCTAAAAATCATTATCATAAAAACAATCCATTAAATATATTTCTCTCACACTTTCCATATGAACATTTTGTGAACTATAAAACAGAAACTTGGAAGCATAATTTATTTTAATGTCCATGTCTTCATATTCCATTTAACGTCATTAAACGGAGGAAACTAAAGTTTAAAGGGTCTTCAGCCCCACCTAACTTGATAAGTAAAATTAAAATTGTTTCTCAGTGAAATGATGAAAGAATATTTTATAATCAGAGCAGAGACAGTTTGAAGAAACCCTAATATGTTGTTTAAAATACGAAAAAAAAAATATTCCAAAATTAGAAATATTTTGTTCAAAATTATGAAGAACGTTTATAATATCTTACACATTTTTACATTTATAACATATTCGTGTTTTCAAAATATTTTTTTGTAATTTTGAAATGATTTCGACAAACTTTATTCGTTTGCTATAATCAAACAAATGTAAAAACGTAGGCCAAAAATCAATTAACTAATAAATCTCATTACAAATGAACTTTTTTCTGAACGATGGTGTCGTTCATAAAAATAAACGAAGGATATATCAACGTATGGATCTTTCAGAAAAACAAAGTAGCAATATTTTTACAAAACGATCGAGAAAAATAAAAAACGATCGTTTGCATTTTATTAATCGATAAAAACGCTAATAGTTCTTACGAACGAAAAAGCAATCACATTTTTATGGAATAAATAATTTTTCTAACAAACTAAAACACTATCGTTTTTACTGAACAAAGATTTGTTGAAACAAAATTATGAGGAAGCAATGGGATTTTTAATAAACGATTATTTCTAGCGAATTATTTTTTCAAACAAATATTTGAAAAAAGGATTATAGTTTGTTAACGAAAAAAAAGATGTAATTGAATGATTGCTCAGATAGAAACCGAGCGAAATAGATGGAAAATGAACGCTAATTTTGAAAACGAACAAATTTAAATGCTTACTGAAACGACCCCATTTGTAAAACTGTTAGAAATTTATTTTATTTTATATGCTTTTTAAACATCTATTGGGTTTCTAGAACTTTTTTTTGATTGATGCCTTAGATCTTGAATCAAGAAATATGGTTTTGATGAAGTAATGTTCTGAACCAGTGCATGGGAGTTTCCAGTTCTAATCAATATGAAGCCATTTTGATCAAAATGAAATATATTTTTAAAATTAAATTTAAAACCTTTTAAAATTTTTTATGGCTGATTTTGATAAGATTTTTTGCAGTTTATTTTTCAAAGTGACTTTCTTATTTATACTGCGTAGACTAGGAAGGAAATTGACAAAATTGAGAAATAAAATGGAAAATATCAAGATCAAACCAATTGTTGTGTATATCTAGGATCTTGGGTTAGGGAAATCAATTCTTTTAAATGGAAAATCAATTTAAATTATGTTGACAGTCCCTTTAATGACATGAAAATGGCGTGTTCCTGACAATCAGCTGATAAAGTTGTGGCAGTCCGCCATCAAATCCATGGCCACACGTGACCACCATAGAAGACAAGGTCTGACTGTGTACAGAGCAGTTGTGAAGAGGATCTGGTCTCCCTGATCAATATACTTTCATTTAATGGTTTCCTGATCAATATACTTTCATTTAATGGTTTCCTGATCAATATACTTTTATTTAATGGTTTCCTGATCAATATACTTTCATTTAATGGTTCCCTGATCAATACACTTTTATTTAATGGTTTCCTGATTAATACACTTTTATTTAATGGTTTCCTGATCAATATTCTTTCCTTTAATGGTCGCCCTGATTAATATACTTTTATTTAATGGTCGCCCTGATCAATATTCCTGATCAATACACTTTCATTTAATGGTTTCCTGATCAATACACTTTCATTTAATGGTTTCCTGATCAATATACTTTCATTTAATGGTCGCCCTGATCAATATAATTTCATTTAATGGTCGCCCTGATCAATACACTTTCATTTAATGGTTTCCTGATTAATACACTTTTATTTAATGGTTTCCTGATTAATACACTTTTATTTAATGGTTTCCTGATCAATATTCTTTCATTTAATGGTCGCCCTGATCAATATACTTTATTTAATGGTCGCCCTGATCAATATGCTTTATTTAATGGTCGCCCTGATCAATATACTTTATTTAATGGTCGCCCTGATCAATACACTTTCATTTAATGGTCGCCCTGATCAATATACTTTTATTTAATGGTCGCCCTGATTAATATACTTTTATTTAATGGTCGTATGCTTTTATTTAATGGTCGCCCTGATCAATATGCTTTCATTTTATTGTCGCCCTGATCAATATAATTTCATTTAATGGTCGCCCTGATCAATATACTTTTATTTAATGGTCGCCCTGATCAATATACTTTTATTTAATGGTCACTTTGATCAAAATTCTTTAATAAGGTTTACCTTGCATTCAACTTCAGTTTAGTATCTTTTTATTGGTTCAGAAATTTTACATAAACTTCTTTTAAATTTTTTTTCAAAACAGAAACTATAATGTCAATAAAAGCAAAAATGATAAAAACATAAAAACAATTAACCATACAGAACTGAGGAAGGTGAAATTTAGGCTTTTGGTGCCCCGCCCCCGTCTAGTGTTAAAATCAAAACGCGTTTGTTCTAATAATTGCAAAATTGAACTGGCCTTGAAAAAATGGCGTCTGATCTTAAACTTGATAATAATACTTTGACTATATAGTTCCTGACCACTTGCTTTAATCATCTACACCTAGCTCCCCCCCCCCTCACTTCTTAGAATTATACATTGTTTAAAGAAGAAAGGAATGATTGCAATTTGAATGATCTGTTGATTATAGGATTCCTCTGTTTTAAAAACAACAGAGTATAATTTAGTAATATATAAAAAGAACACGTAATAATCTATTTTTAAAGATTTTACATGAATGATTTTCATTCGCGAATTTCGAAAGAGCTTGACATTTTTTATAGTGTCTCTACATAGCTCTTGTACCCGACGTCTTTTAATGTTTGTCCTGGATATCAATTTTAGATGCTGAATTCCTGGAAATCCAAAATAAAAATTCCTAGCTCATATTTTGGGTGCTGCGGGTGTAAAATAGATAATGCAGATTTCTTTGAAATAACTTGTTTCTGCTGACGCTGTCAATATTTGCAATATTAGGAATTTTACAAAATTACATCAAATCTTCATCATTTGCAATCTCGAAATATTTTAAAAACTGAAATATATTCATTGTTTAACAATTTAAAAGCATAAGGTTTATTAAGTAGTGTCACTTTTTCGGTTTTTGGACTCTAAGATACATAAAACATGGAAAAACTGTTTTAGTTTGATCTTTTAAAAAGTTGTAAAAGCTTGTAAATTATAATTTTACTATTTTGAAATCAGTTCTCTTTGAAAAATGGCCAAACCGTCGTAAAATTCTTGTTAAAATTTGTCATTTTCATAAAACATGAACATGAATTGCAATTTGCAACTCGAAAAAACCTAAATTCAAAATTTTTGGGGTCCATAAATTACAATTTTACCAAGATGTTTTATATACAATCTGCTAAAAAGATGATTCCTTGTTCCACATGGGGAAGGATGCACTTAACTGTTCTTCAGTTAATTGCTAGTTTTATATATAAAAAAACAAGTGTCGGAATTTGCCGAGTCACACACACACCTTAGGGCTCTATACACATTGGTAAGAAGAAGCAAATTGTTGAGTACATATAAGTACCTGCAGGTATAAGATGGCAGATGTTGAGTACATATATGTACCTGCAGGTATAAGATGGAAGATGTTGAGTACATATATGTACCTGCAGGTATAAGATGGAAGATGTTGAGTACATATATGATGTACCTGCAGGTATAAGATGGAAGATACAGGGGTTTTGTTGTACACCAATAGAGTTTATCCCCCAACAAATCATACTACCGTAATCCAACTCAGTTCTGAAAATAAATCAAGTTTTTAATAAACAATTAAAAATAGTTTAAAAAAACTATTTATTAATGATTGATAAATAATAAATCTAATGAATCTGATAAATCACGAAAAAATTGATAATGAACAATTAAAATCAGAAGAACAGAGCATTTAAATTGTGAAAACAATAAAATGTTTAAGGCTTTAATATCTGGAATAATATAACGATCTGAAGGTTGAATTATGTCGTATGCCTTGTATAAAGTATCATTATATAATTTGTCGATATAATTAATTATATGCTGTAGTAGGGAACCAAAAAGTGAAATGTTTTCTGTACACACTGTGATTTAAAGGTGTCGAACTATCAAGCAAAATTCTATGAGAAATTTTCAAATTACTTCATAAAACAAATGCAAAGCTAACACAAGTGCTAAAATTTACATGTTAAGGGGAACAGAAAAGCATAAATGGCACTTAAAGGGCGACACTTCAAAATCGACCTTGTCTAAAAAAATTGATGAGCCTTTTTAAAGCAGACTGAATCTATGTGTACAGTTGTTTTTAAAATAAGGTTTCATTATTTCTGGATATCCCTGTAGATTCTTACCTTGGTGTGTATTCTATTGTGGATATAGAACCATCCACCTTTACTTTACTCTGGTCTATACTAATCCTAAATATAACAAACTTTATGATTATGCAATCCAAAAACTAATTTTCTATTCCTAATCTATTACAATCTAATTTCACAGATCTTTGATTTATGCATTATAAGTAAATAAATGTATCTCAATAAAAAAGTTTTTAATTCAAAAATGTGAGTCTGAGTGATTAGAACATGAGAGTTTGTGGCAAAGACTCATTTCCTTTGGTTTCTGGTTTATCTTCTTGAGTTTGTCTCTACCTGTTAGTGCTAGTGTTGAATGCCCAGTGAAAGCTGATCCCGGATCCAGGATTACTAACAACCTCACAGGATATTGTCGTCTTCTCAAACCTAATCAGAATAAAATTTAGATGGGCTCCTAACATCATTTCAAATTTTACATCCCCGCTTTCAATAGAAGTACATAGATTTAAGTTTTTTTTCTTTAAATAGGAAGAAAAAATATATCTATGTTTTAGAATGCAGAATAAATCGGAAAAATGCACTTTTAGATGTTTCTTTATTTAGAAAAGGAAAGATACGATAATAGTATGGGAATTGAAAGGGCAAAACTTCTTTACAAAATGCATTTAAGTGCGCACTATGCAAAGTAACATTCTGTTTGAACCTGATTTTAAAATAATGAAAATTGCGACTTAGCCAGTTAATTTATACTTTCTTCCTTTCTATTTTTGTTAATCCATAACATGTAAAGTTATTAAGATGTAATTTAAAAACCCATTAAAAAATCAGAAAAACAGAAGTTCTTCTCCTTACCATAAACACACAGGTTTATAAAATGCATGCGTATATATACACGGAAAATTGTTTAATGTAATTTTTCAAGATAAAAATAGTAGAATACTGACCTGGCAACTCCATAAACTAATTGCTGATCTTGTTTACAATATGGAGCATCTGTAACAAAATTTTTTTTATTTTTAATAAAATAGATTTTTCATTTTTTTCAAAATAATTTCCTAATTTTCGAATTTAGGATACAATTTCTTGTTTTCCTAATTTATAAAAGAGTGTTTTATGAGAAAATTTAAACAATATGATTTGGTCTTGGTTGGCCTTGGTTTGCCTCAAACACTAATTTAAACAATATGATTTGGTCTTGGTTGGCCTTGGTTTGCCTCAAACACTAATTTAAACAATATGATTCGGTCTTGGTTTGCCTCAAACACTAATTTTCTATTCCTAATATCTTTGACCTTTGATGTTAAACATTGCGTTATACTAGAACAATAAGTGAAGCTGAATTACCACAGATTTCTCAATCAAATTAACAAGGTATAGGAATAGAAAATGTGAGTTTGATTCAAAACAAACAATAGAGAATTCATGGAATGTTTGAATCGAATATAGCTTCAGAGCGAATAATAAACTATTTATGTTTGAATCATATAAACTTCAAATTTTTATTTTTTAAGTATTTCATTTTCAAAGATAAGTATTGACATCAAAAGTTAAGGTTTGATCGGTAAAGCATCCAGCCGTTTTAAAGAAAAATGGATTGGTATACAAACAAAATCAAGATGAACATTTTTAAACATATGAACCTTATAAATAATTAAAGAAATAATTTAAAAATTTTGCATTCACTTGATATTCTGGTTAGACGGTAGAATATATAATTGATATATTCAAAAATCTTTAAGTTAGCAATTTACTATCACGAAAGGAAAATATATAAAGAGAATAAGAAATATGTATTTATACTTTATTTCCTGTCAATGGACAATCCTTTGATTCTCCAGATGCAAAAAAAAAATATTTATTTTCGCAGATTTGAAAATGAATTTTGTTATTTTTCTTATTTGTGTCAAAAAGCAGATTGACCTAAATTGTGATCAATTTCCAACAATAATTCTCTAAATAATAAAATAACAATCAGCAGGAGTCTAAAACAAAATAAATCCCTCTCCATATTTCTATCCAAGGTTACGCATACAAGTTAAGACTTTAAGGAGAAACCTTAGGAAAATCACAAGTTAGTACCACCTATATGGTCGATATTTCAGGTACCCTTAGATATAGTACATTTAAACTCAAATAAATACTGAACTGCTTATATATACATATTTATATATATATTTATGCATTATAAGTAAATAAATGTATCTCAATAAAAAAGTTTTTAATCCAAAAATGTGAGTCTGAGTGATTAGAACATGAGAGTTTGTGGCAAAGACTCATTTCCTTTGGTTTCTGGTTTATCTTCTTGAGTTTTTTATATAGAAAATCGAACTAAAAAGTTAAAATATATGATTTAAATAAAGTTTTTACTCGTGAGTCATGATATTGATTTTTTATTTAATACTTTTATAGAATCAGATCTTAAACTCTTGATCTCGATATCCAATCTTCAATTTAAAGATGTTTGATCCCTCAATTAAAATTCTCTCTGCAGGGTTTGACCTGACTAAGGATATCGATGAAAAATAACATTAATCCGTACAGTTCCGCATAAGATGGATATCAATGCTTTATTCTTCAATTGAAGTTCTCTCAACAAGGGGGTGGAACAACTCAGGATATCGAAAAGGAATTAAATTAATCCATAGTTCTGCATTGCTTGATCCTGGAGTTCACAATACAAAGTTTTGTATAAATTATTTATAATTTATTGTATAAATTGAATGTTCTTATTTGAGTAAAAACTTGGTTAAGAAACAATTTAAATATTGATGTCCCGTCATAACATGCATGAAAAGTTCAAATTTTCTTCAAAACACTAATGAACAATTTATACTTTAGGATTTGATAAATAACAATAGCTACTGAAATGATATATATTATAGATATCTTATTTAATAAGTAATAATTACTGTCGCCTATTCTTCCATAATTTTTTATTTTTTGTAAAACCATGTATTCAAAAACAACCCATTTTAACTTCACCATTAACATATGTATATCTATATATATATAATATATATGAGTGTCTATTTTCAAGTAAAAATAAATAATATTAATTTTTCAAAGATTGGGATGTAAAATAGAACAAAACTAACCTATATTTCTTATATAAATACTTATCTTAATTGTAACCTATTTCATTTTTCGTGAATTCACCCTTTAATAATGACCTTGGACTTCACAATCTGATTCGGTCTTCAACAAAACCTAATCGATCAAAATAAGTGCAGAGCTGCAGAAACAATAACACGAAGAAATATAGGCCTCGTTACAAGCTAAACTTTGCTTTGCGGGAATAGAAGTATAATATATACATTGAGACTATAAGTCCTTACTTTTTGGAGCAACATTCTAACCTTGTCGAAGACAATATTTTTTGTTTTATTCGATAACCCCCTCCTCCCCCCCTCACCACCCTAAAATCTATTTATATTTAGTTATTTAGTTTTGTTTGATTGTTTGTATCCTATAAACGTCATTACTGCTGAACCAATTGGCCCCAAATTTTGTGTGGAACCTCCCGTGATCCAAGGGAAGGTTTATGAATGATCAAAATTTTAAAAAATTAGTGTTTAAAAGTTTTTTATTTTTATAAAAAATTTTATGAAATCCGCAAATTTTTGTTTTATACTGTGAAAAGAGAAGATGCTCACAGATAAAGCCACAATTAAAGTTAAAAAAGGAGATGGGCGCGAAGCACCATGAAAGCCTAGTAATAAATCTTTCAGCTTTCTAAAACGTCTTTAGAAAATAAAGTGAAAAGTTGAGAAAAGTTTGAGACATGAATTAAGGATTCGATGAGCAGTCTCAGAGAAAAGGGTCTCAACTCTATGATCTTAAACTTTTCATATTCTTCTTCTCACTTTTCATCAATAAAATAAATGTTATTTTTCCTGTTATCATTATAACAGCCTTTTTTTAATATTTTGTTTTGGTAATTTTATCTAATGAATTATGTTTAGAGAATGTTTGAAAAATTAGCTGTAAATATTGATATTTATCAATGTAAAAAGAATCAGTAAGAAAATGAACTGCATATTAAAACATTAAAACAAACTCAAAAAACGTATTTTGTGATCAACGTTCAAGCTATTCAAATTATTCAGATTCCTTTTTTTCTGTGATGTAAAGTCATACTTTAGGTCAATTAATGTCCCCTTTTAACCTTAAAATAGCTGGGGTTTTAATTAATCTATGGTCGGACTGTAGGGAGGGGGTTGTCCCGCCCAGTCTTTCCGGAAAGGAAAAAAAGTACTACAGAAAAAAGTTGTTAAAAATTTATTTTAAAAAAGACCAGTAGTTCAAACAGCCATTTTTTGTGTTAATATGTATTTGCCAATATAAAGGAATTGAGTTTTTACCACTTAAATATTATAATCCCTATAGTCTTGCAACCGAAGGGATTAAACCTTTGATATTTCAAATTTTCACTAATTAATCTATCAAAATCTATAGTTCGATATATGAAAGGTTTACAACTTTGAGATGCAAATATTTAGCGATTATAAGATAAGAGTTTGTGGCAAAAACTTAGCCCCTTTAAATTATAAAACAATCAAAAATATGATGTTGGTGAATCCAAATGTCAGAAAATAAACATAAAAAACTCATCTAGACGCGATATATTTTTTTCATGTTTAATTTAAAATTAAAGCTTTAGCCCGCGAGCAAAATATTTATTCAAACAAGTTATTTAAGCAGATTTCAATGAAGAGCGACTCATAAATCTGTAAAAGGAATTGAGTTTTTGCCACAAACTCTGATTTTCTAATTTCAATATTGTTGCAACCCAATGTCGTAGACCTTTAATATTTCAAACTATGAATGCTATTGGATCATATAATGTAAGTTTAAAATATCAAAGGTTTACATCATAAGGTTGCAAAGATATAGGTTTTACAAAAACTGAATTTGTGGCAAAGACTCAATTCCTTTAAAGAAGAAATTTAAGCAAAGAACCACAAACATATTTTTTTTAATGTCTGGACGGGAAATAAAGTATGAAAGTAAAAAGTCAAAAAAATGTATTTGAAAAAAAAAGAAAAACCATTACAAAATTTACCAAAGAAAATGCAAATTATAAAACAAGCAAAAAAATCATATTGGTGAAACCAAATGTTTACCAATGCACAATTTTTTTCTGCTTTTTAATAAAATTACATTTTCTTCTTTATCATAACTATACGTCTCAATTTGAACTTAATGCTTGGTTTAAGCTTAAGGAGTTCAAGCTTCAGCCTGGGAGCCAACAATTTCAAGAAGATTTCTTAATTAAAAAAAATTGGAATGGAAAGCAAAAATTTAAGTATTCCTAGGTTTTGTGCTTTTTATGTTGTTATAAAGCAAAACGTTCTATCAGGAGCATGAAAAAAAATTTATTTTGTGAACAAATACTTATGTAAAATGCACAGTTTCTGTGTTTCATAATCATGTTCCCTTATTGAAATCATAATATAAAATACTGGCTGAAGTGCCAGGCGCTGCCCAGGCTTATACTATTATTTATATTACCCACGCTTAGTTTAAAATTTCGAAATTTAATTAGCCTATGTTTATTATATAGATTGTATATTAATATATTTAAAGAAATACTTACATCTAACATTTAATGTAACTGGATTACTGACCCCATCTCCCTCGGTATTGTGTGCAACACATGTGTATATCCCTAAATATTCAAAATCTTTATAACAAATTATTTTTATTTCCCCTATAGTTTTACAAAATAATTCAAAAATATCAAAAATCAGTGGTAATATTTAACCAACTGACTCTTAAGAGGTCAGGGTTGGGCCGAGGGGGTGTTTACGGGTTAAATTATCTTTAAAACATTTTAAACATTTTTGTTTACTAAAAAAAAGGTAAAACGTTAAAACTGTTGTAAACCTTAAAAATGTGTAAGTTTATAAAAGACAAAAAAAGGATGCCCAGGAATGGATTAAACAAATGTTTCAATTAATGTAAATTGAATTATATTCCCTTTACAGTACTACAGAAAGGTTGGTTTCTACATAATATAGAGTCTCTTCCTTTTATTAAGAATAGTTGTTGCAAAGTCCCCGCATTAATCCAACTTAATTTCACACTCAAAGAATACCACTTTAATTAATTAATTCTTAAAGGAACTGTAGATTTATTTTTGGGTTATCATCCATTTAAAGGAAGTGTTCACAAAAATTTTAACTGGGTATAGGCCAATTAATTACTAAATTAATGTCGATTACTACTTATTTCACTTTTATCTGTTGCGTATATAAGGAGAAAATGGTTTTATACCAAATAAATAAATTCAAAATTAATCATTCAGATTTTACAACTGAAAAACAATGAAATAAAACCACTGCCATAAACTCTGATTTTCATTTTGTTATATCTTTGAATCCAATGTCGTAGACGTTTGATATTTCAAACTATGAATGCTGTTAGATCAAATAATTTAAGTTTGAAATATCAAAGGTTTAAACATTATCAGGTTGCAATGATATAGTGACTAGAAAATTTGAGTTTGTGGCAATAACTCAAATCCTTTCTCTCATTCTCGGATACAGGATTAAAGGTTACGAATGCACTCTCTAATTAAGGAAGTTTACTTGAAAGGAATTGGGTTTTTGCAACAAACTCAAGGTTTCCAATTTCCATATCTTTGCAGCCTGATGGTGTGATATTTAAACTATAGACTAGCTATAGGAATGATAACATCTTGGTTTGTGGCAAAACCCTAGTTCCTTTAGTCAATACACTTTACAGTTCCTTTAACAGTAGAGCTTTGTGAACAATAAAAAATGCACAAAATAAAATATTAATGAAATGTACTAGAATGAGGGTGAAAAGGTGAAGGAAAAGAAAGAAACAGACAAAAAGTTTGCTAGGTTGAATTCTAATCCTCAGTTTAAAGAATGCAGACTTAACTTTTCAATCTTTTCAATCAACGGCGGCTTTTGAACAATGGTTAAAAGTATTTAAATCTTGTTTTTTTCAAGCTAAAGCAAAGAAATGTTGGAAAATAAAATGATGATACCTGACTGGTGTTTTCCCACTCGTTGTATAACTAGACTCTGAGTACTAATTATTATCCCTAATCCTAGGTTTTGAACTAACGGAGTCTCCTAAAAAAAGTGTTTCTTATAATTTTATTTTAAAGGAATTTTTACGAATTTCAGCTTTGATGTTTGAATCTCTTCAAAAACTGCAAACTTTTAAATTGAACATATTTCAGTCTAATAGGCGAATCGGAAAATTCTGAGAAAGAATATTTGAACTTGTTTAAAAATTAAAGACCAACATCATGAACATATTTGGATAATCGCTTTCTCTTGGGATTAAGTTAACAGTTATTTTTAAAGTTATTTTTGGAATTTATTTTGAAATTTTGTTTGGATGTTTACATTTTGGATACATTATTTGTTTAAAGGCAAGGAAAATTGAGTAAGGTTTGGTTTTTAAGCCAACACATTGCAGATGCCAATTTAAAACTATACAGAGAAAATTAATATTATTAATATTTGGCATTTTAAACAAATCTAAAATAATAAATATGATCTGTTTTTAAAACAAACTATGATCTGAGTGGTCTCAATTTTTAGATTTATGCTTTAACGTGGTTTTCTTGAAATAACAAGTCTTATGAAGTTGATCACTAATCTATTATGAAGTTGATCACTAATCTTTTAAGAAATTTAAGAACACTATTTAGATCTTTTGTAGGCGGGGAAGAAATATCTAGAACTTGGAGTATNGTTGAAGAAATATGATACATAATAAAACTGAAGAGAGTCTTGAACAACGACCTCTATCAGACTTGGGGGGAAACAGCAGAAACTGGGGTTGGGACATATGGAGGGGTGCTTGAAGAAAGGGATGGGGAGAGGAATGCTCAAATATTTTAATGGTTTTTGCTCATATTCCATATATTTGGTGAAATTTGATATTTTTTTCCAAAAACAGAGGGTCGGAGAAAGTCGGCCCGGCGCCTAAGACTAGGTTCCCGACTCTAAGATTCTACTCGGGATAGTGACAAAAACCAGTCACCCGTCCCCCTGACCCACTAAAATAATCCACCGTGCACCCCGAGATTTACAAAAGGACACCAACAAATTTTCATCGGAGGCCCTAAGATTTTCATCCAATACCCCGAGATTTAAATGAAGAGATTTGGTCTCCAATTAAAATATGAGGTGACCATTGAAGAGATTGGAGTTTCCAGTGAAAATATGGGGATTTACGATGAAATGCGTGAATGTCCCATGGTCTCCAATGAAAATCCGGGGTCTCTGATAAACAGTTTGGGGTTTCCAATGAACATCTGGGGGTTCTACAGTGATGATAATATTTTCTCGCGCTCAAACTTTTTTCTAACCAATTCTTTTTTGACTGTCTGTAACATCGGACAAGAGTTTAGTAAGCAGGTTATTACAAATCTCGCTGTTTCTGTTAAAACCATGGGGTTAACACAACTTATTTAGATAAGGTATAAAGAATGTTAAGATGTGAAAAGAACACATTATATTGTTTATGGAACCCTACATTTTTATCTTATTCTCAGATCATTCATAAAGATGATGATGTATTCATTATTTTCTGTTTGGTTGTCTATAACTGTTATGGTGTCTATATATTTTTCGGGTGCTTATATATCTGTCTAAGTGTCTATCTAACTGACTGTGCGTGTAGTTGTCTTTCTGTCTGTTGGGTTTCTATCTTTCTGTCTGTTGGGTTTCTATCTTTCTGTCTGTTGGGTTTCTATATTTCTATCTGGGTGTCTATCTATCTGGGTGTCTATCCTTATGTCTGTACATCTATCCCTTTAGTATGTGTCCTACTGTCTCTATGGAGGTGTATCTATCTATCCGTCTGGGTGTAGATATATAACATAAAAATATACAAGGTTGTAATGCAAGGAAAGTTAATTGCGGTGGTGTATACTCTGCGTACATATTGAAACCAGTTCTCTTTGGGCAGATTTTGTAAACAAGAATAGATGCATCAGTGTTCGTTTAGTATCCGAGGAGGTTAAAAGCATTAAATTTTGATAATTTTGATAATTCACATAATAGTTTCCTATGACCAGAATATATCATTGATTTTTTATGTGAAAGATGGATCCCATGTCAGGCTTTGACATCCGTCTTGTGTTTACATTACCGCTCAGAGACAGTACACTGCAGTACAAAAGATGTGTACACTTCTGAAATAACTTTCCTTGCATTACATCCCTGCATATATATATGTCTAGCTTTTTATCTATCCTTCTAGGTTTCTAACTATTTCTATGGAGTTCTATGTGTCTAAATGGGTTTTTATCTTTTTGTCTGGGTGTCTATGTATCTGTCTGTATATATGTCAGTCCGTCTATCTATCTGTCTTGGTTCCTGTCTATCTGTCTTAAGTGTAAATTTTCCATTATTATAGGAGAACTAATAGTAATGAATAAACGGACTCGAACCTAAAACTAATTTTACTTACATTTCTTCTCCATGTTATCTTGTAAGGTCGAGGGTTTGATCTAGAAAAATTATCTCATAAATTATCATTGAATCAGATTGATACTTATTCATAGAAAACTGTCTTATAAATATGACTAGTTTACAATTAGAATAAAAAAAATGCAAAAAATAAAACTTAACGGCATATATTTTATAAAACAGTACCAGTATTCGAAACAATAAAAATCCAAATAAAACAATTCAGCTCATTTATGCATATTTTTTTTTGCTTTTTCTTTTTGCGCCTAGAAAGATATGCAATGTGGTGTCCAGAAGTACTTATTTTTGGCTTTATACATTTCCAATATGTATAGACACTGTACATATTTTTAGCACCATTTGTTGGCAAAAATAAATACATTGGAATTCAGATTATCTTAAAATATTTTGGTAAAGTATTTAGGTTCAAAGGTCATCAAATAATTACAACCATTACTAAACTAATACATTAACACTGTAAAAGGTTAAACCAAACTTCAAATGGTCTGAAATTCTTCTTCGTAAGGTCAAAATTAATCGAACTGAGATTAAATTTACAAAACTGAGGATTCTTAGAATTCATTTAAAATTTGTTAAATCAAGATTGCTCTACTCCACAGATATATATTTTAAATTCTTGAAAAATGATGAAATCATATTATACAATAATAGCAGAAACCTAGAAACAAGACTGTTTGTTAAGTAATGCAAGCATTTTCTTAAATTAAATAAACTGTGATCATAATCTAAACTCCCCCCCCCTCAAAAAAATTAAAGGTCAACTGTTCCATATAATAAAAAGAAAAAAAACATATTCTAAGAGATAATGGGAAAAAAGGTGGAAGCTTTATTATAGTTAGTGTAAATCCTTCCAAAAAGCACTAATATTTTATTTATTTTTGAAAGATTAAGTTAATTCATTCTGAACATGAGAAATAGTGATAAACCACTTTTTTTGCGAACTGAGCACGTAATCGTTATATTCAAAGTTTCCACTATAGATATAAAGTTCAGTCAAGCATAAATAGCGCCATTTAACACAAAAGTTTCTTACCATGTTTTTTGTTTTTGTTTCTTTTGTTTACCTGACAATGCACTCAAAATATACATCATCTCCTTCTCGAATATTCGAACCATTTAAACTAGAACCAAGTCCTAGAACAGTCTGGGGAACGTCTAGATAAATATTTTGTTTTTTAAATCACTGATCGAGGCCTAACGCTTCAAAATTGGAAAATTCCATTTTGACGCATTTGTTATTTTATTATTTTTACTATGTTTGTTTTCAAGTCGTAACAATACAAAACAAACCATAAAAAATAATCAATAATAAAAAAATGTAATACAAAAATTATTCACAATACTTCAAGCCTTTCTAAATGATCAAGTGTTATTATATTTATTTGTTTCGTAATATATTGTTTCCCATAAAATAAACAGTGAATTTTACAAAGTTTGAGCTTAATAAATGACAGTGAAAAGAAAAAAAGAGACAATTTATCTTTAGTTTTCAGGAATTCTTAAGAAAAAAAATGTTTCAAAATATTTAAGTTATGTCATGGGTTCACAGTTAATAAAACAATGGTGTCAAACTAATTAGAATAAAAATGCATATTTAATGCAGTTTTGAACAAACAAATGATATTATTTCTTAAAGGGAGTTTTTTCGAAAAATTAAAGGAGGTAAAGATTGAGGTCGAATTGAATTCGATATTGATCGCTACTAATTTTACTTCTATCTGTTGTCTGTTGCCTCTATACAGAGTAAATGATAAAAACGAGTCATACCGAAAAGTACCCGTTACTCCATCGGAGGGATGGTAATTAACACTCAGGACACTAACTACTCCAACAGACAGAGGGATGGTAATTAACACTCAGGACACTAACTACTCCAACAGACATAGGGATGGTAATTAACACTCAGGACACTAACTACTCCAACAGAGGGATGGTAATTAACACTCAGGACACTAACTACTCCAACAGACAGAGGGATGGTAATTAACACTCAGGACACTAACTACTCCAACAGAGGGATGGTAATTAACACTCAGGACACTAACTACTCCAACAGAGGGATGGTAATTAACACTCAGACACTAATTACTCCAACAGAGGGATGGTAATTAACAGGACACTGATTAATCCAACAGAGGGATGGTAATTAACACTCAGACATTAACTACTCCAACAGAGGGATGGTAATTAACACTCAGACACTAATTACTCCATCGGAGGGACGGTACATAAGAATCAGGACACTTATTACTCCAGCGGAGGGATGGTAATTAACACTCGGGACACTAATTACTCCAACAGAGGGATGGTAATTAACACTCAGGACACTAATTACTCAAACAGAGGGATGGTAATTAACACTCAGGACACTAATTACTCCATTGAAGGGATGGTAATTAACACTCAGGACACTAATTACTCCAACAGAGGGATGGTAATTAACACTCAGGACACTGATTACTCCATCGGAGGGACGGTAAATAAGAATCAGGACACTTATTACTCCAGCGGAGGGGTGGTAATTAAAACTCAGGACACTAATTACTCCATCGAAGGGATGGTAATTAACACTCAGGACACTAATTACTCCAATAGAGGGATGGTAATTAACACTAAGGACACTGATTAATCCATCAGAGGAATGGTAATTAACACTCAGGACACTAATTACTCCAACAGAGGAATGGTAATTAACACTCAGGACACTAATTAACACTTGGATCATATAGAATAAAACTATATTATGAATATAACTCTATACGAATGCATCGAATTGAATTCGACAATTGTAGGTTGAAATATGTAAATGAGTGATTTTAAATTTTATTGAATTATTCAAGGCCTGAGTGGAAAAATGCAATTCCGTGAATTTGTATGGACGCTACGCACGTACTTAGGGACGCAAGAGATAAAGTAAAATTAGCAGCGAACAATTCGTTATCAACCTATACCCCCTTTTATTTTGGCTTACAGTCACTAACTCAAATTTTCTAATACCTATATCTTTGTAACCTGATAGTGTAAACCTTTTATATTTTAAATTTTGACTATTTAAAGTTTAAAAATATGAAAGTTTTATAACATCGGGATGAAATGATACTTCTTTATTTCAGAAATTCCTTCACCCCCTTTCCAGTGTTTCCGCTTTCGCTAGTTCAATTTAGCTGAATCAAACTTCATGCTGATTTTCAGAAAAATTATTGTTTTGTCGATTTGCACAAATTATTAGAATTTATTTTATTTTAGGAAAACAATCGGTTTAAATCCAGGCTTAAAGGCTTTATATTTGCAGCAATAGAATTATTTAATTTAAAGAAAACTAAGCTTATTTGTTTCATTGTAGTTTTAACTATAGAATACAAACCACTAGCTGAGTATGAAATCTTTTTGAGCATCAAGACATTTGAGATAAAAAAGAGAAAAAAGAGAGCGACATGAAATGCATAAAATGCATGAATTGCGTGAAATGCAATCGAAAAAAGTATGAAGTTAAAATAAAACTTATTCCAATATGATATATCACTTGTTTCATATTATAGAATACATTTATTCTGCGATATTTTAATGATAATACCGCATGGCGAGCACATGTTTCAGATTCTGCAAAGGAATTGAGTTTTGCCACAAACTCCAACATTCTATATAACCTATATCTGGGCAACCAAATGTCGTAGAATTTTGATATTTCAAACTATGATTCATATTAAATAAAAAAACTTAAAATATCCTCGGTTTACACCATCAGGCTACAAAAAAGGTGTTAGAAAATTAAAGTTTGTGACAAGAACACAATACATTAGGAAAAAGATTGGCTCTATTGACTGTTCGATATACCGATATGGTTTCGTTCCTTTGGATATTATTTTGGTTACCCACAAAGGATCTTACTTTAAAGACGACCTAAAAATCTCAAAATATGACGGCCCCATGGTTAAATCAAGTCTTCTGCCTTGAATATAGTTTTTTAATAGGCTATCAAATGATTAAGCAAAGACAAATTACATGTTCTGGGAATACTTAATGTAGTTTGAATGTAAACAGAAGTAAATGTTTGTAGATTTTTAGTCAGCAGTGCAATAGGGATTGGAGTGGGGCATGGCATATTGATATTATGTATTACTTACAATTTACATTTAGTTTCCATCCATCTTCTTTACTTCCCTCTCCAGTTTGTTGGTCAGCTGCCCGGCAGCCCAGAAACTTTCCAGTGTCCTGACATATATTTATTTCAGATTTTTTGGAAAAATTATTTTTGAAATATGTTCCTCAGCACAGAATTGAGTATAAGGTGTCAAAAAGAACAAACTTGGCAGTTTATGTCCAATTTTTCAATTTATTTTTCTTATTTTTTCATTTTTGTTTCAAGAAGAATGAAAAGATAAAGAGAAAATGACCAAGCTCCTTAATGTTTATAAGATTGAAAACCCAGCTGGCTATGACTGAAAAAAAGTCCAGCTAGTCTTATAAGAATTTTTAACTTAAGTTAAGAACATTCACATGGCTGCCAAATTCTACCGAATTCCCCCAAGCAAAATTTGAGGCAAATCGGTCAAGATATCATTTAATTGTTATGATCATACATTCAAAAAACAATAGACAAACAGAGAATACAACTTTATAAATATATTTCAAGTATGCTATACGATAAAAGATTCTTTGGAAAGTTGCTGTTGACTATCATTAAGCGAATATTTATTGTTATGAGAATATTAATTGAATATAAACTATATAAACTAGAGTTTAAAAAAGGTGTGAAAAGCTGTAACGCGTAATAGACCATAAGGGGCTAGACATAGACATCAGCAAAATAAGCACAGAGTAGACAATGTCGTAATCTTTTAGTAAGCTCGCATCACAAATAGTTTGTTATGCATTTTAATAAAATTACTCTGTACTCTTTTAGTCCCTTTTAGAAGCCTGAAAAGACGCACGCTCTTTAGGTACTCACATGCACACACAAGACATTTCAGCTCCCAATGGTAGAAAAATTATCAAGTGATCAAAATTTAGTCCAAAAAAGTGTACATTAGCCATTTTTTTTGGACTAGTATACCGTACTACAAACGTACTTAACACATTGCAGTTACGTATTCTCTGCGTACATATTGAAACCAGTTCTCTCTAGGCGGAATTTGTAAAGGTGAATTGATGCATCAGTGTTCGTTTAGTATCCGAGGAGGCTAGAAGTATTACATTTTGATAATTTTGATAATTCCTTTGACCAGAATATTTCGTTGATTTTTTATGTGAAAGATGGATCCCATGTCAGGCTTCGACATCCTTCTTGTGTTTAAATTACCGCCCAGAGACAGTACACTGCAGTACTAAAGATGCGTACACCTCTGAAATAATTTTCCTTGCATCATAACCCTGGGTGGCCCTGGAAAAAATAATCCACTCTAAACTCAGCTTTTGGTGTGTACTGCAGTGATCTGCAGTATTCTGACCGAATGAATTGTGGGGTTTAGTAGAGAGTGAAACCTTTATGCACGAATTCACTCTACAAACGACGATTTTTACGTTTTAATGTTCAATCAAATAATAGCTTTAATTCCCTTCATACACGTTTTACGGTCAATTGAATAACTTCATAAAAAGAATAACTTACAACAGGGAACTTCCATATCTGATTCATCAATTCTGTGTACTGAGGCCGTTCCTTCCATAAACTACATTGGTCGACAACTTGACGTGTACTATATTGGTCGTGAAATGTACGGAGAAGTATCTATCTATCAGATAAGAATTTAGCACGAGACATCTAGCGGCCAACATATCGTCCCCGAAAGTGCGTGAAATACACGACCACTTTCTATGGAGAGAATGGGCTCTGCAGTGGGAGGATATCAAAACAAAGAATCCAGGGACAAAACATCATTCATGTGTGGGGGGAAGAGCTTATCAAGATCTGCTGCTTAAAATCGTGCAAAGAATGATACTATACAAAGAATAAATCAATAATGATTTTTTCGATATTATCTGTCAGGACACAAGTTTGAAAACATGACTAGCGTTTTTTACACCTCTGGTTGTGGGAGGATTAAGTTTGATTGTTTCCAGATAGTACAGTTCACAATTTGCGTACTTTTACCATTTCAAGTGGTAGGAAATTAGGAAATCTAAACTGATGTGAGTAAATATACAGAGTACAGGACAAAAGTATTTACAAGTAAAAATTAAATAAAATGATTCTGATAAATAAATCATGTAAAGCCGGAGCTCTCTGATGGACTCTCCACCTTTCATTCGCCTCATACGACGAGTAAATATTTTATCTTCAGAATACTATAACTTTCTTTTCAGTTTTAGCCCAAGCCAATTCTTTTTCCTCCTCCCTCATGTCAAGCCTTGTCTCATGCCTATTGGCTTGAATTCAAACTTAGAAAATAAAATTCCCGGTCCAACGGTGGCTTTGGTTTTTTGTGTTTAAACATGAGTTCTAAGAATTCTCTGGGTTGGAATTTTTTAACGACTGAATCTCCCTTCATGATAGAGATGGGATGACTTGTTATCCGTCCTACTGCTATCATTGACGACAGTTTATTATTACATACTTGCAGTACAACTGAGTTGGGAGTTCCTAGTGTAGTTCCTTGCTACAGATAAGTCTTTTCAGACTTAAAGGGAATGAGAAAAATCATACAAAGAGAAACTCTTGTCTTTCCTCTATATAATTTTTTCTACTGTGTGGTAATCATTTTCATTTTATATTTTTTATCTATTCTATAGAGGGATGTTTTTCATTTTTTTTTTAAACGATCGTTTCGTTATGAAAACGACGATGAAAAATCGAAAACGAAACGACCGTTTTTAAAAAAGTTCGTTTTTTAAAAATGGTCGTTTTTAAAACTATCGTTTCTAATTCTATACAAATAGTCGTTTCGTTAACGATCGTTAACGAAGAGAGGTAACCGATCTGAAGGGCATCTGTACTTATCATTGAGTAGTTTTTAAGAAAATATCAAGTTTTAGCTCCGCCACAACTTGTTAACTTTATGTAAGACGACATTCAATAAAGTTACATGTAATTTTTTTTAAGTTCGTCGTTTCGTTAACGATTAACGACAATCCTTCGTTAACGACGACCCTTTTTTAACGATATTTAACATAATTGTCAATATTTTTTTTTAAAAACGATCGTTTTTTCAAAAGCGATCGTTTTTTAAAAAACAATCGTTTAAAAAACAGTCACAAATCGTTTTTAAAAAAACGATCGTTTTCTTTAAGTTCAAAACGAGTGGGTCGTTTTTAAAAACGATCTTTTTTTTCCAAAAACGAAGCGATCGTTTTTGAAAACGATTGAAAAACGAAACAAAAAACGATTGTTTAACGATCGGTTCCAAAAACGATTAACAACCCTAAATTTCTATATATATGTTTTTTTTACCTGAATAGTTGGTATATAGGTGATTGTACTCAGAGTCACATTTCCATCTGGAGAGGTCTTAAAAGTATTTGAATATTTATTTGAAATATATTTAAATTATTTGAAAAGAAAGAGATTATTCAACAATTTCAATTTGAAAATATAATGCTTTAAGTTGTTGTTAAATATAAGTATGGATTTTTTTTTAATTTTTAGAAGAAAAAATTAATCGTTTTGATCAAATATGATTACTTATTTAAGTTAAGTTAATTTTCGAAAATCTCTGTTTTGTTAACGGAACTTTGCCCAGCCCTACACAGTACAATAGGGTACTCTACAAGTTCACGGCATTTTACACAGCATTGAAGAGATATGTTTATACATAGGATTATCTTGCCCCAGAGATGATCAGTCAATGGTTTAAAGATTACAATTGAGAATCGGTGATGTCCATTTTAAATGGAAGGTTGCTTATAATTATACGCTTACAGCTCCATTACGCTTCCAAACTCCAATGTTTTAAGTGAAATGTGCATTTTAAATTGAGTGATCAATCTCTTAAAATATAGGGTTTTTTTTACATGAACATTGTCTTCTTTAAGAAATGTTATTTTGGCGTATAGTTAGAATATGCCACAGTTTCTAAAAAAGTTTAAAATAAAACTGGAATGAAACAATAATTGCAGAGTTTGAATTGAAAAAATCAATTTGCGTTATTTTAGTTGATAGTGCATTTAATAATAAGAATGTTACTTACATGTGTTGTAATATTTTCTCTAATTTGCTGAGCCCCCCTCCACCAGGTTACTCTAGATAATAGAACATATTTTATCCTAATTAAAATAAATCAACGAAAATAAAACATTTAATAGAAAGTTCGGTAGAGGGAGAGTGAAGTCTGAATGTAAAATCTTGCTAAAAGATTTAGTAAAAATGAAATTTTGCAACATCTTTCGATTAAAAAAAGGTTTTCGCAATCCTTTTTTAAAAAAATCTATTTTTATTATAAGAGATGTTGTTTTACATGTATATACTTAAAACTATAAACCTGTTCAGAGTTTTATACTTATAGTTAATATTTATTTAGGATTATTCATTTGATTCCTATGGCATTGGTTAAGATTTTTGCTCAATATATTTTGAATACTACTTTACTTATTCAGGATTTCCAATTACTCTATCAAACCATTTTTCCTTAATTAAAATTGAATACATACTTAATTAATTCTCCCAACATTTGTATAAACAGCTCGAGATAAAATGGAGTACCGTCTGCAAAGCATGTATAATCATATGGTAGGGCGAACCGCGTCAGTTGTCTCTCCCTTCTATTCCTTACTCCCTGGTCACCTATCTACTTTCTTAATAAGGATATCTGCATAACTTATTTACTGCAGATGTGTAAATATTTGCTTTTTTCAGTGATAAAATATATACTCTAGTCCATTTACTAAAATCGACTTTGTCACTTTAATTATACATCATGTCCAAGAAAAATCGTTATTTTGACCCTCTTCATAACAAAAACAAGACTTCAAATAAAATTAAAAGACTCCCAACACCCCTAAATACCCTTTTCTGGAACATCCTGTTTGAAGGTAATCTAGAATAGGTATATTACCTTGGAGGGGGTCGGGCCCCAATAACTTCACATTTGGCTTCATAGCTTTTTCCAGCAGATAGAGATTCACGTCCCTTTACCAATCGGACTGTCAGGGGACCAACTAAACGTTTTTAGTTGTAGCATCTTCATCATTATCATCATCATCATCATCATTATCATCATTTTTATCATTATCATCATTGAAATCATTGAAATTATTATCAATATTGTCATCATGACAATCATTGTTATCATGATCATACTTGGGACCATTATTACCATCATATCAATTATAATAATCATCATCTGCAAAATCGTGATCAACTTCATTATTATCATATCATAATAGTAAGTATCATCATCGTCATTGTATCCAATCCGCACATCATTCACCATTACTATCAGGGTCAATGTTATGGTTGGGGTCAACATTTAGGACTAGGCCAAAAGTCAATGTTGATGCCATGACAAAATTCTAAAAAACAAATTGTGGAAAAAATTCTGACAATGTGATCTCCTAAAAGAACTAAAAGAAAAGAAAGATACTATGGAATAATTAAATTTCGAACAATTATAAAAAATAATGCTTTTACATATTGTTTGTCTTAATTAGGCCCCAACGGATACAGGAGGGGGGGGGGGGGAGCACTTCAGGGAATAAAATCCAAAATTTTATCTTTTTAGGAGAAAATTAATACTTTCAGGGGTTTATAGTTCAGGACGTTTTCTTTTAGGAGTTCTATATAGCGCCAGATATTATTTAGACTTACAGTGCATGTCAATTTTCACAGAGGTAGAGACAGGAGTACTCAGATTGTTATTAGAAGCCTGAAATAAAACATAAAGCTAATTTTTTGCATTTAAAGTTTAATTCACCTTAAAAAGTCGCAAAAATTCAAATCTGTACCAAACCCTAGACTTAAGTCACAGCTTGCTGAATCTGTTTGACCATTGACATATTGATTTAGATGCATATTTGTTATTCTATCTGATCCAAAAGTTGAATTTCAAATTGTTTTATCTTTTTTACTCTTCTGTTTTGTCAAATTGTTTATTTGCTATTCTGAGTTATCCAATTTGTTGTTGTTTGTGATCAAATTAAAGCTGATGTACTTAGTGACATTTATACATACTTAACAATATTTATTAATTAAAATTATTAAAATTTTAATTAAAGACCTTTTCAATTTCTATTTACTTTCAAACCCAAATAATATTCTATCAAAAATGTCAAATTATTTTTTTCACAAGCAATATCATAAAGTAAATTAAAGCAACATTTATAAAAGAAAAAAATTGAAAAAACCAAAACACATTAAGTAGTTAATGATTTTAAAAAACAGCGAACATAAGGAAAGGTCAATTTTTCATTTTTTTCTTCAAAAAATGTTGACACATAGATAGATAGTTCTTGCTGCCTTTGCTATTTTATTGGTCTTGAGTACTCACGTGAGTAAACATGATTGGATCAAAGGCTACTAGACTTGTAAAACTACTGTGGTACGGACAGCCTTCTTTCTTTATATGTTCTTCATTTTAAGATTAGATAAAGTATGATGTATCTAAATTTTAGGGAGGGGTAGGGGCCGTGCTAGCCCCCCGTCTTACCCCCCCCCCCTGTACACACACGACCTTGTTAGAGGTCTTACTTAATTGATTCTTTTGCTTGCTAATCTTTATGATGTAAACATGTTTATTTTCCTTGATTCTCTACCTGGCAAGTTATTATTGAATGAAGATCAGTTCGTTCTAGTCTCTCCAGAACCAGAACATTTACCACCTGGAACACAAGGAAATGCTAATTCTTTTACAATAATAAAAAAAAACTGTTTCTGTACAGGTGGTCATTAACCATTTAATAACAGTTATGTATTTGCATTAATGAAACCAAATTTATAGTCTGTGTTATTATGTAAACCCCTCCCCCCCCTTTCTTTTACTTTCATTGAATTAGAACGATGTTCTAACATATATATGTCATTATACTTATTTCTATTGAAAACAAAATATTTTCCTTTTTTAAGAAAGCCAAACCAAGCCGAAACCAGGCTAAACCAAAACTTTTTTGAAAATAAAAAAATGTAAAATATCCTAAATTAATTGTTCTTTCTTTCGAGTATTTTAAGTCTAGTATTTACTAAGTTAGGTATTTACTTGGATATCAATTAATTTCTCCAAAAACAAATGGCTTCATTGGCCCTATAACATTTTCTTTATTACCTTTTGTGCCCCTAGAGTTTCATAACTAGAATCAAGAAGGGAATGATCTCTCCACCAGAAAAGCTGTGGTGAGGGGGATCCTAGAAAATATGCAAATTTATGTGTGAACTTAAAAGAAAAGTTTTAAAAAATTGAAAAAACGCTACAAACTTGCCGGTTTTTATTTATTTTTTATTAACCTTCTCCAAGTTAGAACAATAATAATTTTTTTTATTGGTATTTTTTATTAACAATTTCTCCCGGCTATAAGACAAAATTAGCCTAATCTAAAGAGAGTCAAATAACGCAGGAATTTGGGTTTAAAATGCTCGCCATCAGTAGTTTTCTACCCATTTTTGGAAGTTATATGTTTACTTGAGCCTTCAACCTGGTTTAAAATTTGAAATGTCACATATTGTCAGAAACCAAATAAAGTGTAAAACGAAAAATTGCAAAATACTTTTCTATTAAATAGAATAAAATAAGAATTTATTCCTACGAATAAAATTTTCTAACTACCTAAATACCCATAGCCCTTTCTTTCGATATAAAACCGGGATTTTATACTAACTGCCTAAGTCTTCAGGCACACTGCCTGAATGATTATTTTTTCCTGTAGCAAACTAAATCTTTACTTTGGCCCATTTTCAGTTGTCACGTCATATTTTGATATTGTTAAGCTTTTTTGGGAAGCCTATAACATTAGGAAACGGATTGCACAGTTTTGCGAAGAAATTTTTCAAAATTATTTTCATGTTCATTGGTCAAGGGCTTTTTAAAAATTATATTTTATAATTTTTTTGACCTTTTCAATTTTGCAAATTTGCATGATCTCTGAAATTTGCTACAGTAAACAAAAGAGTGCCTATGTTAGTCGCAAGGACTGTCCTAGTCTCCTTTTTAGTCCCAAATGGTCCACTCGGGAGATTATTTCTGCGACTACTTAGGTCACACCGGACTAACCAGAGTTAGCAGCATTCGGTTTCTTCTATTTGAAAACAAACGTGTTTTGGTCTTTAATTCAATAATCATTTACTTTACGGGTTTGTTTATTTTATACTTTTTATTCAAAATGCATATGCTAACAAAAAAAGGCTAACAAATTATGTTTAATGGGTCAAATTGTGATCGAAAGTCACAGCTTTCTGGAATGTAGATAGAACCGTTAAATCCACGTGAGGTTTACAGGGTATTATTGTGAATACGAAATATTACTTTTAAGAAAAAAGGTTTATGTAATTTCAAGAGATCCGAGCTGTTAATTATTATACCTCCCCAGGTTTCACACTTGATCACAACCCTCTCCCCTATTCTGTAGGGACCCAGAGATATATTCTGCTCTTCATCACGCTCATTGTAGATCCGGGGCTTCTCAGGGGGAACTAAACATAGCTAGATAGAGAATAGAGATATGATACATAATTATAATAGATAGATAGATAGATAGATATATAGATAGAAACAGAAACATAAATTACAAATAATATTTTTAATCTATTGATGTAAAACTTTACCTATAATATGAAGAGAAACTCTAGATATTTGAGTTTGTGCTTTAAAGAAATCCACTCGACACTTGTACATACCAGCATCAGAGGCCTGTACACCATCTAAACATTGTATACATGACTAAACCTACACTTGTACATACCAGCATCAGAGGCCTGTACACCATCTAAACATTGTATACATGACTAAACCTACCGAGTCATGGCTCTCTGCGCCAAGGCTTAATGGTGGGGATCTTTTCTTAGAAGTTTAAGTTAATTTACTCTAGTTGTAAGTTAGAGAATGTAATTATAAATCGCGCTTGTCTAAAACCAAATCTTATTTTAAATGAACTATGTTTGCCTCCTCCACTAAAATATCTGTTTTGTTTTGTAATTCTTTGAACGAATATATCAAATCATACTTGTTTCCTTATTCTTATTTATTTAATCTTATTATGATTGTTATAAAATTGTAATTCAATTTTCTGAGATACAGTTGAAAACATTTTTGAAAATTATGTTTCTTTGTGAGGTTTGAGATGTAAATCTAAATTAATATATAAAATTATTTTAAAGTTAATATATCATTTATCAGTGCATGGCGTAAGCCTAGATATAATTTAGAATGTCAGTAGCTTATTTTCCTGAATTGATATTGGATTGTTTTTCTGTAAAACTGGCAAAGAACCTAGGACTAAACATCAAGCAGTAAATCTTTGTTATTTTCTTTTAAAATTACTGCAGTAATTAGTATTAGTTTTACCCTAACTTCAGACATTTAAAATTTTAAGCGGGGTCGGTAGAGAATATATTTTGGTGCATTAACTTTTTAGTTATTGCTATTCTATAACAAATGTTTTATTATTAACTTTGAAACTTTTGAAAAGTGGTTGTCCTTTATAATATATCCCCCCCCCCCACTCTAAATAAAAAGCTTTTTCTCCTTCTTTTTTCCTCGTAATCTCTCAGTAGATATGTTTGGAAATAATACAGTTATTATAGTAATAAAATAAATAAAAATAAATAAAAAGGACGCACGAGGTTACAGAGTCACACCAGTAAAACTTGAAGTGTTACCTATGACAAGCACACCGGTAGTGTCTCCTCCTCTAAAGAATGCACTGCCAGCTAGAATACAAATATTAACTCTTTAATAAAAATATTTTATTGGACATGAATTTAAACTAATATCGTTTCCTTACACAATTGTCAAAAATCGATAAAAGACAAATCAATTTAAGGAAACCGGTTCAAGCTTATTTCCTCTTCCCAATAAAAACAATAAAAATAAATTATGGAGTATATACAAAACATGTCATAAAAAACATACCGTCACAAAACATATCAAATAGAATACTTATCAAACAATACATGTCTCAGATAATTACAGAAAGAATATCGTAAAATCTTAAAATAAATGTTTTCATCTGAAATGTTTTGTTTTGGCATGGTTTGTGATGATATATTTTGTAATGATGATATGTTTGTATGTGGCCTTAAATTATTTAGTCAACTCTATCTCAGTTCGGCTATTTTGAATGACATTATTGCAGGCGGGTGGGGGAGGGGCACCCTAAACTAAGCAGTAAACTGACCGAAGAAATGGTGGGTCTTTGTAGAGATTATACCTTGGAGAGAGTGACATGACACAAATCTAATTTTAATGGCTTACTCATCTCTATATATATACTTTACTCATCTCTATATATACTTTGCTCATCTCTACATATATACTTTGCTTGTCTCGGTGTTTGGTTCTAATAAACGTCAAAACGGCTGAATCGATCGGGTCCAAAGGAATTGAGTCTTTGCCACAAATTTGATTCTATAATCCCTATAACTTTGCAACCAAATGTCGTTGACCTGAGATATTTCAAACTGTTAATTCTGTCAGATCAAATAGGTTGCAAAAATATAAGGATGAGAAAATTTAAGTCTGTGGAAAATACTCCATTTCTTTTGTGTGGGACCTTTCGGGACCCCAGGGAAGGTTTATATATGATAGAACTTTCAAAAATGTGCGTCTAACAAAATTCGATTTTTGAATTTTGGAAAATCTGCGAAATTTTTTGCTTGTTTTTATTTTACAATGTATACATAAAGAAAATGTTCACAATTGAAAAAGAGCCTGAAAGCCTAGTTTACTGGAAAATTGTGTTTATTTCTTAAATGTTTAAGGTATTGATGAAGTTATTTAAAAATCAAAAATCTAATTTTTACAAATATTAGCTTGCTTGTGTAACACATTTTTAATTGAATGTTTTAGAACTCTTCGTAATTTAGGACCCGTAGCTCACCAAGGAAAAATTCGGTCAAGGTTTTTTAGATTTCTTTATAACCCACCACATTAATAAACAAGTTTCAAATGGTTTGAAAATTTATCATATTGAGACAACACAAACCATATAATCCTTTTCCTGATTGTTAGTCTTGATCTGCTACAGAATGCATTTTAGAGATAAGACAGGCTTTATTGAACTTCGATATCAAAGCTGTAGAGAATAAGATGCAATATCCAATTCCTTATTTATTAACCTAAAGAAAGGTTTTTTAATGTACTTTTTAAACAAGAGATGTTAATCTGCATATCATTTTTCAAATAATTCTAAAACCTATCTATTAAAACAGTTCATGATGTTTGTCCAAATTATTTTACATTATGGAAGATTATGTTGATTCATAAAATGACCTATAAAACTTATATTGCAACTTAATACTATATTTGAGTCTATAAGGCCTATCTGAGGCCTATGTGAAGACAATATACTCATGTAAATCTGAAATTAGTGTGGTAGGTTTTAAATGAACTGTAAGCATAACTTAAAGAGACCCTCCATGCAAATATTTCACCGATTAACAACGGTACCCTTAAACCCTCTATCTTCTCAATAATGGAATTTATTTACGTTTTTCTAGGTTTAAAAGGATTTAATTCTGACATTTTTTATATATTTTCCATCAAAACTTTTGAGCAGAAACCACATTTGAAAATAAGTTTTCAAAGATATGTACATTAATATCTAATTCTATACTTTATTAGACAAAGATTTGAATGGTACAGTTGTGAATCAGACATGGCCATATTTGCATGGAGGGTCCATGGACTATAATGCTAAGTTAATATATGTTCCTAGAGCTGATGTATTGGACCAGTGTCTGGCTGTAGTATCACCATTACTTCGAGTATCATAGGTGTACAGAGGTCTAAAATTGTTTAAAAAACAATATTTTGAAAAATAAAAATGTATTTTTTGTAATCCGTTAAAATTTGTATTAATAGCAAGAAAATGTAAAAAGTATTTGTAAATTTTAAGAAGAAAAACTATCTGCTTTTGAAAACTTTTGGTTTCAACAGATTACATTTATTTATAAATAGTTGAATAAAAATATTAATATTTGAATTTGCAAAACCAACCTGTTTGAATCATCTTTGAACCAAAGAACCAATTTAACTCCATCCCTTGTGTCTCTAATTGCATAATTGACAATTTTAATCTAATTCTTATTGTGAAATTTTTTTGAAAAGATTATAAATGTTTCGAGTTTCTTGTATCACACTAGAAAAATATTTTATTTTGGGTAGTAAATCAAAATTAGAAGAATTGCGAGGTCGTAAAGTCGTTTCTGCAGTAAATCAGCATAAATGAATTGAGTCTTTTTCACAAAATCAAATTTTCTATCCCTATATCTTTCCAGCCTGATTGTGTAAACATTTGATATTTTCAAACTTAAATTATTTAATCAAGCAGAATTAATAGTTTGAAATATTTAAGTTCTACAACATTGGTTGCCAAGAAATAGGGATTCGAAAATCAGAGTCTGGTAAGCCTGACTTAGTTTTGCATGGCATCTAAACTAAACTGAACCGCAAATGAAAATGTTATAAACTATTTATCTTCGCAACCTGATAGTGTAAACCTATAAAGGGACAGACCGGCTATGTAAGGTAGTTGAACTGAGTATGCACTGTTGTGGAAAGCTTCTTTAGGATTCATTTGAGACATATGAAACTTTTTAAAGATCTGTAAATCCTGAGTTTGAGCGCAAATTCGACGTTCAAAACTCCCACTTTGGGGGTGGATACATTTTTAGAATCGTGGTTTTTTAAATTACTAAATAAAAACGACGAAAAATAAAGTATTAATTAAAACAGTAAAGAAAGCTGCAAAAAAACTGCAGTGAATGATGAGAAACTAGAATAATGAGAATATAGAAACTAATAATTGAACAAGACTACTTGTTTTCGATGATAAGATTAATTTTTATTTTCTCAACCGGTTTCTAAACAACTAATTAGTTTACTGTAGAGTTTTGTTTACATTTTTTGTCGTCGTTATTTAATAATTTAAAAATACCGATTCTGAAAACGTATCAACCCCAAAAGTAAGAGTTTTGAACGTCGGATTTACAGATCTTTAAAAAGTTTTATACGTCTCAAATGAACCCTAAAGAATGATAAAAATGATGGTTCAGATAAAAACAAAGAAAATTCATTGTGAGCCAATTGAAAATATAACGTTTGATAATTTGTAATAAATTGATAATATGGCTATTAGAAAATCAAATACTGTTGCAAAAGCAAAATTGCCAGATGAATATTGAAAAATTGCCAGATGAATATTGAAAAATTGCCAGATGAATATTGAAAAATTGCCAGATGAATATTGAAAAATTGCCAGATGAATATTGAAAAATTGCCAGATGAATATTGAAAAATTGCCAGATGAATATTGAAAAATTGCCAGATGAATATTGAAAAAAAGCGTTAACCAATTCGACTTGTTTACGATTTGTTAGTAAATGAAATGAAAGTCTTTGTACTCTCATGTGTAATACTTTTAGCAGAGGGAATTTGAACTCTCCCTGTAAACAAACAATTTCAAGTTTGTCGAAGTAATTTTGACTGCAGGAATTCAGATATCTTCACTCAACTCGGAATTAATGATATCCAAGAAGTACAGTGTTCCCCACAAAGAATGAGACTTTAATAAGGACCTGTATGAACGCTTGGGTTATGACAATTTACGGGTGAATTAAGCTATTATCATAGACCATAAGGGACAATTAAAGCTGTAGGAGGCCATGTTTTGAAGAAATGAGAATGACAAAAATACGTAAAGTTGTCTTTAAAGTCTCATCCTTTGTGGGTAACGCTGTAGTGGAACTAGGTATAACTACGGTTGTTAATCGTTTTTGAAAACGATCGTAAAACGATCGTTTTTTTCGTTTTCCTTTAGTTTTTTTTTCGTTTTCCGATCATTTTAAAAACAATCGTTTTAAAAACTTTTTAAAAGAAACGATAGTTTTTAAAACGATCGGAACACGAAACAAAAAACGATAGGAAAATGAAAAAAAAACGATCGTTTTTCAAAAAAATGAAAACATCCCTAGGTATAACAAGTTAAAACTTCTTTGCGGCAATACGGCCACATTAGAAAACTATTTATAAACGGTCATACAAATATAAACATTTTAATACTTATATTAGTCAAAAATTAGTTTACCATAATCTTGAAAACTTGTCATGATCTGATCTGGAAATATCTCATTTGAGATCGGAGACAATTCCTTGTAGTTGTAAACCTTCTTATGGATCATCAGGCTTGAATCCTGCACCTAGATATGGGAATCGTTGGGGATCATATTGAATCTACATTTTGAACCTGGCGTTTCAGCGTTTTGAAAATTCAAACTTTTATTTTTAACAAATTAAATTTTTGAAATTATGCGAAATATTGACTCTGAGACTGAATATAATGCTTAATAAAGCCAAACCTGTACCATTCGTTAAAAATTGGTTTGAAAAAGCTACTTTAATAACACTAGATATGACTAATTACTTTTTTCAACCCTTTCTACTTTCTGAGAAGTTCCATACACATTTGAAATGTTCATTATATTTCTTTAACTAGGTTACAACATGTTGCAAATATTTTATCCTGAAAAAAAGAAAAAATGACAGAACAACAATAAAATCGATTGATTTAAGGGACTGAACACATGATTTCAATCAACTCTCCATTAGAGGGTGGCATATCTGATTCATGGGTGCCGTTACATTACAACAACAATTCATTTAAATCGTTAGAAATATTATTTTGATAAATATCTTTCAATGGAGTAAAATTTGGCACGAGATAACAACAGAAATCTTTAAAGAATTCAATTTTGAAAAGTAAATAACTCTCAAATTCTTTTGAAGCGTATTAACCGTTAAAATAAAAGGGATTGTATAAAAATTTCAGTTAATATGATCACTGGCTTGTCTGTATTACCATGGTACCCCATACAACTCTATTTGTTTGAGTAATATCTAATTCATCATTGATCAGACAAAGGTTTCTAGGGTACCATATTTTGACTGAGATTGCTATTTTGTAAATGAGATGTCATTTAAAATTTTGTCAACAGTTTCTTCTAATTAAAAAAAATCCCATCTTCTTTACCTGAACCTCGTTGCTGCTCTTCAATGAAACCTGGTCCAAACATAAACTTACGAGGAACACAATTAGATGGTGAAACATTTTTGATTCCATTTCACGCAATTTTTCTCTATATTTTTCACATTTTTTCACTTTAATTACGTCACCAAATAGTTAAGTTTGCACTACTAAGCTCCTCTGAAAAAGAACAAAATTGTATTTAGATTCACACTGCTCGTTTCTTGATCTGTAAAAATGTCAGATGTCAAATTCGAAATGGGGAAAAAACGCTTCTCACTCTCTCGAAAATTCTGTTAAACTTTTGTATTTGAATTATTAAAACATTATGTAAAGCAAGGTTAAAAAGATCAGCTCCTAGAAGCGTTCTAAATCCCTCGTACTCCAAGTTGTCCAATAAACATGTGAAAATTGACAAATCAAAACTAATGATGTTTTCTACTGCATTAATTATTATCATCATCAAGGCTTGATATCAATATTAATGGCTCTTGAACAAAACCTTCCTATAAACTTTAATAAAATCGACCTGATTTGATAAGAAACACAAATAAGAAAAAAGAACAAAAAAGAAAAAAAATTAATATTAATCAGGGAAAAGAGCTGATCACTCTTTATTGATTCTATATTTTTGCGAATTCATATAAAAAATAAAAGCTATGCAATGCAATGTTGGGCCGAATTATTTTTGTAAAAGTTTACAAAATAAATTATAAAAATGATTATATGTAGGAGGTATTCTTGTACATGCTGTGCTGTGGAAGCCTGTGGTATGAGATAGATAGCAATAAAGCTTGTCAGAGAGATTAATGAAAATGCACATTGAGCAAAGTGCATCCAATATTTGTAAAATAAAACTTTACAAGAATGTATTTCCATAATCAATGCAATATTTGTCAGAAATGAATATTATTAATTAATAATTTACAAATATTGTTTTTCAAGATTGTATTGTGGCACGGCATCTTAAATTGAAAATTCTTAATCAATAAAATTTGATTGTATATTTATGTCAAACAAAGTTCCATAAGACTCTAATTTAAATATTTTGTGTTACTTTGAATGTATTATTTTAATCACAAAAAATGTTTAACTTTCAAGTTAAAAGACATCATGTTAAAGCTTACTTTCGATTACATTATCAACCCTAAAAATTTTGAATTCAAAGACAAAATTGGAAATTGGAGAACAATTTCTGTACACAATATAATATTCTGAATTCTATTTTGTTCCTAGAAGAAAACTCAATGGAAAACAAAATGGGATTGTTTTGGCAAAACATATATTCTAGAATCCAATAGATGCTCATTTGCATCAGGAGCTGTTTGGAATTCATTAATTGTATCTTTTTATTCGAATATAAAGGAGACACAACAAATATAAAGTAAAATAATAATTTTTTAAGGAATGTAACTGTTATAAAATGATTTAAAAATTAATGGAGGATTTTTTTTAATTTGAAAACATTTAAATCTTCAAAATTGTAGATGTAATAAAAACTTTAGATATTAGTTTCATCAAATCAAAATCAAGTATATGCCATAAACATGCTATAGATGGATTCTCGGAGAGGGCACATATAAATCCTTTATTTTATTTTTTCAACAGAGGTATATAGGATGTCGAATCCTGTCCATCAGAAAAATTTATTCCGCCATTTCCCATTTTATCTTTACCAACAATTTAACATTTTTTTTGAGGAGGGAAAAAATTTATTTATCATTTATAAAATGTACTTTTATGAAATTTATTTCCTATTTTTATCATTCATACATAATGTATCATCCATTAGAAGTATCATTCATAAAATGTATCCTCCAGACATATGTCATTCATAAAATGTATCCTCCATGACATATGTCATCCATAAAATGTATTCTTCATGACATATGTCATCCATAAAATGTATCCTTCATGACATATGTCATCCATAAAATGTATTCTTCATGACTTATGTCATCCATAAAATGTCTCCTCCATTAGATATGTCATCCATAAAATGTATTCTTCATGACTTATGTCATCCATGAAATGCATCCTCCATGACATATGTCATCCATAAAATGTCTCCTCCATTACATATGTCATCCATAAAATGTATTCTTCATGACATATGTCATCCATAAAATGTATCCCCCATTACATATGTCATCCATAAAATGTATTCTTCATGACTTATGTCATCCATAAAATGTATTCTTCATGACTTATGTCATCCATAAAATGTATCCTTCATGACTTATGTCATCCATAAAATGTATTCTTCATGACATATGTCATTCATAAAATGTATTCTTCATGACTTATGTCATCCATGTATCATCAAAAAGAATTTGAAAATAAGTTACAAACATTTTCTTATATATTATTTAAATCCACTTTTAACGGATTATAGTTCGGAAACTGTTGAAATTCGAAAAAAGATAAATCGAATTTGGATTTCGTTGAAATACTAAAGAATCAAAAATAAATCCTAGAAAAATAACTTCATAGAACTGTTATGTTATCAAAGTGCATTTAATAATTTTTCATTGCCTGTATTCTTTCTCAGTTTTGACTAGAGAAAATATCCGTTCAATTAAGTAGACTAAGTAAAAACACATCTACTGAGCGCCAGTTCAAATTTAAAAAAGATGGTTCAACTCAAAGTCTACGTAAATAGTTCAGAGACTTGCTGCAATTTTATTTTTATTGATTTAGTCTTTGTCACAAAATCGAATTTTTCTAACCTGCAACCTGACGTGTAAAAGTTATAATTGAAAAGTAAAATTATTTTATCTATACAGAATTAATAGTTAGATATATCTAAGGTCTCCGACATTGGGTTGCAAAGATATAGCGATAAGAAAATCAAAGTTTGTGGCCAAGAGTCGATTCCTCTGATCCTCGATAATTTTTGAGAAGGGACGCATTCAGAAATTTGTCCATGGAGTACTCTTTTCCAGGGGCCGGGGCTCACCCCTCTACAGTAAAGTAAAATACAATATTAGTTTTGGTTCAGGGGCTCTACTTAATTGTTTTACCCTGTTTATTTGTAGGAACACATTCTAGCTATGTTTCTAGATCTGGATGCAAGAGATTGAATGTTTGTTTTAACAGAAGTAAACAGATAAATAAAGTAAACAAGACAAACAAACCTGTTATAAAACACCAGAAATTAAGAGAGCTCGACTGAAGAAAGAATTTTTTTAAAACTCATTTTTCCTGGAATCATTGTTAAATGGTTCATTTTGGCTAAACAAATGTAGTGGGGGGGGGGGCAGAGAAGAGAGAAAAAAGGCGAGGGAGGAGGAAAGTTGATGGACTAGGAGAAAACGGGAATGGGGGAATATTTAACGTTTGTGAACGAGCGATATTTAAAAAGTTAATTCTGTTATTTACCATTAATTTCAAAATATTCCAGATTGTTTGTTAAATTTTTTCGTCCGTAGAGCAAAAACGGGTTTTGAAATTTCTGTGTGCAAGTCTTTTCTTTCTTTCATTTTCGTTAATGTTATTGACAGGACAGGCGGGGGCCACGGGGCCAATCTCTACGGCCAGGGTTTTGGTAATCATTATTTATAACGTATAGAAAAAATTGTATTTAGAAGTTATCGCGATGCATAAATTGCACTTATTTTTATTTGTATATGTCTAGCTAGAATATCTTCGGTTAGGAGTACTGCAAATTGTATGCAGAACGCAGCGAAAGCTAAGTTAAGGGTCTACACCTACATTCAAGAAATAGAATATTGTTATAAAATGAGAAAACAGTGAATGAATGAAAGTAAAAAGTCATGTTAAAACGTTATATTAGACCTGAAAAGTGGTCTAGGGAAGTTTTCTACCTGTCAGAGAAGTAATTAAGGTTTATTGAACTAATTAAATGAAAGGCCAGACTGTTTTTCTTTAGAAATTTTATTTCATAAAGAGTGATCGGTAGGAAAATTAAGAACTTTAAAAACAATTTTTCAAATAATTACTTTCCAAGAGGCAACCTCCCAAATGTTATACATTTCCCCGAGGAAAGAAAAACGACAGTTTTCCCACACGATACGATAATCTATAAATAGGGCCAGAGATTTAGAGCTAACAATCCTTAGAAACTGATTTAACCCCTTGTCGACTCGTTTGCAGAAAACAAATACTATTATAATATATACACAAAACAAAACCATTTCTTTAATCAGTTTAGCAGTTATCTGTTACAGAAACAGTACACTTAACAATATATTTTCATTAATAAAATTAACAATTAAAATCGTTAGAACAAAACATTCCCAAGTTTCCCAATGCATTTATCTCATTTATAAAATTATTAAAGTTATGAATTAATGTAATATAATATTCTTTAATGAGTTTGAAGCAAAACTTTTAGATGAAATTTTCTAGAATAATAAATTAATTTACAGTCTCAGTGATTAAGATTTTCAGTCAAATATTTAGTGAATCCATATTTTCAAACCTATATTCTTCTAAAAAATAAAGAGTTTCCGTATTTTCTTTTCTAAACATTTTTTTGCCATTTGCCTTGAATTAACTTTTAAGTTTTATACGCTATATTTTAACGCATGCAGGATGCAATGCATCACCATTTCAGAGAACTTTGACTGCAGCGCCGGCACCATAGCCTCGCCACTCATGGTCCTAGCCACAGCGATCGACCCACAGCCTGTCCTATCCGTAGCGCTCGCCCCCAAAAATTTTCGTGACCCAGCCTAATCATATTTTTTTTTGTGTAAAAATACTTAAAACTTGCTGGGACATAATCATTTAAAAATTGTAAAATTAGTTCAATTGAACAAGTATGTTTTTCTGAAATATCAAAGATGAACACCATCCGGGTGCAAAGATATTATTTTATGCAAAATAATCGAACATTTTGTCCCTCTGAGATATTTTGGAGTAGTGTATAAGGTTGTCAGTTGTTGACAGTTGTCACTTCAAAGTTATGAGTTATTTTAATTTGTGAAAAGTTAGGGTTTACAAATCTAAGTGAGCTCAAATCTTATTAATCTTCGCAATGTACATTTTTGCATATCAGTACATTTATTACATTGTTTTTATTATTCTGTGTTGAGGTGTGGCTCATAATTTTACTTTAAAAAGTCCAAAACTTTAGAGTACACAGTATACACTGTATCACAAGCAAGGAATGGGTTCCCACTGATTTAGAGTCCGAGGTTTCACTAGTTTACTGGTTCCTCTAGTTCCTAGTAGTTTGCTCCGAACGCCATTTCTCTAGTCCTGGTTTACTCCGGCCCTACGGTTTCTCTTGATCCAATCCTCCGAACCCAATATTTATAAACGTATTACATAGACATTTCATAATAGTTTTATTCTATCATGTCTGCCTGTCTGTTTAGTTTATTTGTCTTTTTTCTTATATTCCTAAAAACTTCTACAAAATATTTCTCCAGAAATTCCTGAGAAATTCTCAGGACTTGGTCACCAATTTTACAGATTTTTGGGGGAACGCACCCCCACACAGTGAATGTCTTGTCCTTCCGGAACTTTTACGGTTTCTAGTCAAAACAATTAGAGCAACTTTAATTTTTCGGATAAAAAGAGTGGTTAAAAATATAATGTGCGCTTGTCAGCTTTATCGAGTTTTCTGATGTAATACGGTAATGACCATAAAACAATAGAAAAGTAAGAAGACATTTTAGCAATACTTAATTGCAATTGGTGTTGTCTGTCACAAAGCAACGGTGAGTCATAAGAGAATTTATTTATTGTACGAAAAATAATGAACTTGGTTTCGGTAACTAAAACTGGTTTAGCAGTCTGTTTACAAACAATCTAATTAGGCTAATGAACAGGCCAGCTAAAGAGGGACGTTTTTACGATAGGTTTTTAGAGTGCCATCTCACGGCCACGTGTTGAATATAATGCTCATTCAGGGGTTAAGTTTTAGAACTTTTAAAGAAATACTCCAATTTTAAACATGAAACATAACTTTTATGAATTTCAGTTTATTTTAGAAAATTTTGTGTTCCCTATCCAAAGGATCCTTAAATATCCCTGAATATACAGATATTTGCTGATTGGTCGTGTACAGTACTTGTACACAATAGAACATGCTGTGGAAAATATCGCATATTATAGGTTTCAATTGATCTCTGTAACTCTCTTATCTCGAATGTAAACCTTAAATATTTAAAACTATTTGATTGCAAGTCGTAACTTCTGAGTGGAGTATCGTCAATTTTTAACGATGAACGATTCCAACGCGAATATGAAACTTGAATTGAAATAGTAAAACATCATTCTTAAAGGCCACTGTATAGGAACATTCTAAAACAAATTATAATTGACTTTTAAAATCGAATTTTTATCAAATTAATTTTCTAAAATATAGTTAATAATTAATTTTGAAAATTAATTGTGTTTCAATTAATTGCATGACTTTCTTGTAACAAGGTTCTGTTTAAATCTATGAGATCTCATCAATTCTGGAATGAATCAGGGATTCAGAAAAATAGTGTCTTTAAAAAATTGGTTGCTCTTTACCTGTACATTTTTGTAATTGTTATTTTCTTTAACTGTAGTCGTACTTTAAATATAACTTTTCATTTGAGATATAATTAAACAAAAATATGCCAGGGTTGTCAAATAAGTATTTTTAGATTTGTTTATTGAGGGCCAAAAACTCGACTTTAGATTTTTAAAGTTAACAAATGCTTAATTTTACAATTAATATACTTTTCTTTCATATATTTTCGAAAAAAATAAGGATTTGTGCGGATAAGGAAATTATTGACGTTTTAATTCCAAAAAAAAAAGTTGTCTGGCAAAAGTGTATCTGTAAGAGTTGTGCATACATCGAGCAATTATCTTATTTTTGACTTGACATTTGTACTCAACCGTACAAGTCGGATAAGAATGAAAGTATTGAGACTATAAAGATGTACTAAATAAGAATAAATGTCGTCGACACAAAAAATTTCTTTTTGATAAAAACATACACATAATTTTGATGAAATATCTCTTTATTTTTATTCAAAATCCTCTGCACAACGAAATTGTTTAGCTTTGATATATTTATAAAAGACGACATTACTGTTTGTCTATCTTACAATACAAAGCAGGTAGTTTCCATTTAAACTCCCCACCTTTCACAGGTGTGGAGACAGTTTCCAAGATGAATTTATCAATATAAAAAGTTATTGTATTGAAAGGAATCAGTTTCAGGTTTCCTTTCAATAAGACCCATGACACTCTCTCCAGATTGACTCATCACAACATTGATCATGATAACAATGATGATGACCAATCTGATGATGACATCTCTGACCATGATGATGATGATGATGATGATGATGATGATGATGATGATGATAGCAACATGCCAGGTAACAATGATCTTGTGTCCCCAAACAAATCACAGAGAGCAAAACTCCAGGTAAAATTTGTTGCTGATGGAAATCAGAAAATTGTGGACTTCAAAAATCTTGGTAAGAAAAGACATTCCTGAATTATGATGTGTATTTTGGTGTAGATAATAAGTTTATTTTTCTTTTGGGTTCAGGAATTTATTTTTGCTATGATTTACTCAGCTGCCAGAAAGACAAAAAACCCTGAGTCATAGAGCGAATGTGGAATGTGTATTTTAATCTAGATATTTGTATTTTGTAAACTCAACAGTTATTAAAACACTGTTCATAAGTAATAATCTCAAATAATTGAGTTCACACAACTAGTATCGTATTCTAGTTTGTTTGTTTTTTCCTTTTGTGTTTTACTATCCTTAAGATCTAATTTAAAATATTTTTGAGAAAAACATTTTAATTTACTCTTGGGGGGGAATGTTTAGCTTTGATATATTTATAAAAGACGACATTACTATTTGTCAATCTTACAATGCAAAGCAGGTAGTTTCCATTTAAACTCCGCACAGTTTCCAAGATGAATTTATCAATATAAAAAGGTAATAGTTGTAAACCTTAAATAACCTTTAGATTGTATGCATAAGTGTATGCATATTTATCAAGTTATATATCTTAACTATTTTCTATATTTCAGTTATGTGCATTTGACGAGTGTTTAGTGTAAATTAGAATATTATCAAAAATTCATTCTTATTCTTATTCCTAAACCTGGAAATTATTAAATACAGTTTAGGAAAGTAATAAGGGGAACAAAATAAAGCAGGTCCAGAGAAACACCATTCATTAAAGTAGTTTAAAAGATACTGCATATAGCTCTTCTCGTGAACACAGTTTTG